CGTCATCAGTTTCTTTTACACCCGGGTCATCACTTTAAAAATTGGGTTTATAGGAGCGGTGACAATTTTGACGAATAAGTCTTAGTGAAATGGCGATTTGCTGCTATGCTCGATAAGTCAGATTTTCGTTCCTTAATATAGATCATGATACAAACAGAAATATGAGACAGAAAACAAAATCGGTTTTATTCCCGCTTTATTTATTACAACAAATCCACACTCTATCAAAATAAATAAAGACAAAACAAGCAGGTAATTAAATAAAAGACAATGAGATTTAAGACAAGATAACTTTGCGGTAGCACCATGTGATTAAATCTCTTTTGTGAGTATGTGGGGTTCTAAAAAAAGAACCACACATACTCACAAAAGAGATTTATTCACGTGGTGCTACCGCAAACTGATCTTGTCGTAGTATCCACCACGCAAACCTTCAAATCTCATCACAATTTCTATAAAATATTAAAATTCTTTTGTCTTGACGTTCTATACTGTTATTGTATTTACAATTTCTGCCATATATTGTGGTATCTTCGCTTCTATAATTGTGAGTCTGAGTATTGTGTTACATCTATAATGAGTTGTCCGATATGATTGTTTATTGTTTGAGTTTATTTTTTTATGTCTATATGTTTTGAAAATGTCTCTATCGAATTCAGTTCACTGTTTTGGTCAAATAGTCTTATCGCAATTGAATGTTGTGCCATACTGTTTTGTTTTTGTCATTCACATTCTTTCTTGTTCATAATTTAGTGATGCGTTGCGTCTAGTGTATTTTCTGCTAAACAAACAAGCCATTATTTCAGTAAAATTGACTTGCTACTTGATATTTTAGCTGTATATTTTCAGTTTCTATTGCAAACAAGTTACTTATACATTTCCGTGTGTACTTTTTTTACGTACTTGAACTATACTTGGCTGAATATAATAACTGTAGTCCATAGACTCATAGCTATTACATTAAGACACTAAACCAGCTACAAACATTGAGAACAGTCTTTGCACACCAGACAGATACGAGAGAGCGGAATTCTGAAAGGTAACAAAATAGCGTTTATCAATAGCGTTTACAAACTTTTACATTTTGAGCATTCCGACCGACGCACTAAATTGACGAAGAAATTACAAGAGGAGGACATTGATATGAAGTTTAGAAGTGAAAAAGTAGCTACTTTGCTCCTTGGTCCCAAATTTAAAATAAAAAAGTGATACATAATCGTAAGAAGCTATAATATATAACTAGGAAATCGAAAATATTACCGTTTTGTAAATTGTTTTTGCTTGATTACCCTACAAGTGTTATGGGCCTTTTTGGGTTTAAATTTCCATACATTTTGATGGCTGATTATTCTCATATTTGGCAGGAATGTTAGTTTGTTGGTTAATGACAATATGACGTCATTTGGTAAAAAAAAAAAAACAGTATTTTGGAATTTTTTTTTTGGGGGGGGGGTGGGCTTGAGTACCCATCAATTAAACAACTTTACCGCTAAAGAGCACTTTACCCACTTTTTGGGGGCACAATCATAATTTTAGTGAGTTTATCCCTGAACGTAAGAGGTTTCAATCATATAAATGCTAATACTGATAATAATTTATTAATTTCCAAAGCGATTTCCATAAACTTTGTTCAAAATAATGAGCTTCACAATTCTAAAAAAAAAACATGCATTGTATTTAAAGAAATACAGGAAATACAGGGGAAAAGTTGTATATTTATAAACCAAAACTAGGCACAAAAAGACGATTTATAAACCAAATTGAGCATACAAAGATCTAAAAGATCAAAAACGATTACCGATACCACAATACACTATCAATACGTAATATAATAAATATATATAACGGAATATCAGCAAAAGAAACGAGAACAAAATAGAAATAATAGATCAACAATAGTAAATGTGATAAAATATACAATTAACCTTGGAAGTAGCACCAACAAATGAACGACACACAACTTCAATACACTGAAAAACATGGACTAAAACCCAACACATTGATGAAGGATTTGCACACCCAATATTGACGTGTTTGACCCGTTCTTTTATCACGTTTTGCAAACCAAATAGAATGTAGTCACGTGTTTTATTGGTCCGTTTTTCATTACTTTTTGCACTAACAGAAACGTAGTTGTAGTTATTGTCCCTTTCATTTGTCATGATTTCAAGATCTCATAGACACGTTTGGCCCGTTCAATAGTGAATTGATGGTAACTGTACAACCAAAACTATTGGTGTTTTAAAAACGAAATATTAAGCTGATCTATACAACAAATAATCACCGTATGTGGACCAGTAGGTTGCCTATTGGTGACTGACCAGTGACAAGTGGTCTTCAGCAGTGCATTGATGGTAACTGTACAACCAAACAATTGGTGTTTTAACAAAATATTACCTGTTATATGCACCAAACAATCACGTTATGTAAAGCAGTTTTGCTTAGGTGAATGACCAGTGACTAAGTGATCTTCAATAGTGAATTGATGGTAACTGCACAACCAAAACTATTGGTGTTTCAAAAAACGAAATAATATCCTGTTTTATAACACTTATCTTGCTTGTTTTATTTTTATCCTGGTTAACTTTGTTTCATGTTCACTGGATAACACGTTTAGCATTTAAACGATTTTCGAATAACGTTGGTTGTACGTTACAAATTTCCAGAAAGTAGCTGCATATTTACAGAATCATTTTACAGAAGTGCATGGAACCAGACTGTAATGTATTTAACTCATTTCACACTACTTTAAATACAATGTACCAATGCTACAATAGGCCTAATCTACTATACACTACATACTAGAGCTTGTCGTGATTAAGCTTTAGGCCTATATCCAGCTATTCCCGCCATGACGAAGTCACGGTTTAGGGATAAATAATTGTAATATTTACATACGAAAAGAGATCTAAGGCGAGTTTTTACTTATGTTTGCAGAAATTAAAATTTTTATCAAGGATTCGTTTGAACAATAACACATTATTTTTGGTGAAAAAAACCCGCCACAATTCAACGTGAGTTTTGTGAACACACATTTTGTGAGATCGGATTGGTCAGTTGCTGCGTAATGAGATTCTTTGTAAATAAACATGTCTCCTAAAGTTAACCATGTTTGGCTTGTGGCGTTTTTAGTGGATACGCGTTTAGCATTTCAGCACTTTTCTAAACGCGATCAATGCAAATATGTTTAACATCGTGTCGAAAATGCTAAGCACGTTTAGTATCGTGAAGTTAAAAGGATAATGTTTAGCAATTTTTTTTACACTTTCCTAAACGCGTTCAATGGAAATATGTAAACATTGTGTCAAAAAGCTAAGCACATTTAGTATCTTGACGTTAAAAGATTAAGCGTTTAGCATACACTAGCTTTCCTAAACGCGTTCATTGCAAATATGTTTACATTGTGTCGAAAAACTAAGCACGTTTAATAACGTACGTGACGTTAAAAATGGATATGCGTTTAGCATTTTAAACTCATTGCTTAACGCCTTTAACTGTAAACTTGTTTTAAACGTGTTTAAAACCTATTAATTTCACGTTTACAGTGTAAACATAGTTTTTACACTGTAGGACTATAATATATACCAAATAATCACGTCATATACAGAGGTAATAGGTCTAGATAATAGTGACAGTAACTTAATCTACAGTGATTTCATGGTTATTTTGAAACCAGAAATATTGGTGTTTTAAAAACGAAATAATCTCCTAGTTTCAGTACCCCCTTTCGGTCAACTGAATAAGTGGTCATGATCACGTTGATTTACACGAGTTATTTTAACCTCGGAAATCACGTTATTTTATTCTCGTGATTAATAGGGGATTTTGAAGTATGACTAGAACGTGAAAACAAACGGAAATAACATTCACAAGCAATTCACCCCAAAATGGTTATTTTTTTATGTTTTGTTGACTGCGATCCACTGAGCTTAAATTGCAAAAGGTGAGTTGTTATTCACACTTCTCAAGATTGAGAAATTCCGTGCTATCAAAGTAGAAAAATCAAATGTTCCTGTGTAGCTTGGCAAGATTGGATAGATAAATACATATAGTATACATGTAGAGAGGCTCTGTTAAATGATAATGTGTTACCAATGTAACCTGTTCAACAACGATTTATTAATATGAATAGTTAAAAAAAAAAACCAGTTGTTTAACTGGATAATAAAGAAGTATGGACATATTAAAAAAATATAATTTTTAGTCAAAAAATTATGAAGTTCGTCAAAACTATACACAATTTACATGTACATGTATTTTCGAAAAAGGTACATTCATCTGTCCTTTCCGTGTAAATATGCACGTTCTATTCATCTGTGTAGATCCAGAAGATGTCTTGTTTTAGCCTGTTTATAGTTTGTTAAAATATATTTCAGATATGGCACTCATTTTGTTACTACTAGTTGATCCCACTTTACTTCCGACGGACAATGAGATAAAATATGAATTACAAATGGAATTGCAAAGTTATTGGCGTGGGAAACATTATAATTATAACGGAAACATTACGAAAAAAAAAAAAACTGTACGTAAAAAGACGCACTTAAAAACGACGGAAACATCAACAGTATAAACATTTAATGATACAAATATATTAAAACATTCAAATTATATCTGAACTAGGTAACATGTATAAGTTTCGAGTTAAATCAAGGTATTGGCACATGCAGTACAGTAGTATACGTTTCAGTTGATATTTGGAGTTGGACTATAGGTCTTTATAATTAATTTTATCGACTGAACGATCAAATAATTTACACGCAGTACGAATTGGTTTCCAGCTTAAGGGATGGCCCAGTTAGGGCTTATGAATATGTATTAATGAGTTTGATTGGCCAGTCCAGTAACGGGTTTGGACAGAGACAATGCGTGGGCTGTTGCCATGTGGCGAGGCCCACTTCGTTGCAGCGCCTGGTCAATATAGTGTCTGAGTGTAACTTCTATGATGTCATTATGCGCGTTGAAGCCTACTACAAAAATGCATTTTGAAAGAAATTACTGCTTCAATACACTGTAATTCATTTCTGGTAACCCATTAGTATTTATTAGCTTTCCACAACTAAATAACCAGTCATTGGAAAAGTCTGTTTGTAACTATTTTTTTTCAACACTAATACGTTTATCTCCTTTTTGGCTACACTCCTTAATTTTCATTTGAGTCGTTTCTTCACATTGAAACTTATTGATATTTAACGTGGTAACATCCAGTAAAGTTATATACTAAACCTCCTTTATTTTATCATTTTCACACCATTCCGTGGCACGAGTTTCACACTAGATTATGTTCTAGTCACCTGCATACATCAATCCAAAAAACAACCGATTTTTTCTGACTCTGTGTGACAGACTTAGTCTATGTCAAACCTCTCTATGCTGACTGAAAGAAAGCCATAAAGGCCTCTTTTGTGCCAGTATTTAGCAAGAGTATCTTTCCATTTTCTCCGTCGTGGCTACTTGCTCCTTCCAAATAGTTATTTCCACGGTAGTTACCATTTGGTATAAATAACTACTGTGTCATTAATCCCCGGTCTATGTGATAGTGTTTGTGTGGCTCTTTTTTCTCTATAAATTCCTACATTTCGTAAGTTTAATTGTCATCTCTTACTTATGCATTTAAGTCAGGCATGCCCCTTTAAGCCACAAAGGGACGTTTGAAGCGCGCTCTCAACCCAAAGTGTTGCTTTGAATTTAGTGTAATTTATTTTACTGTAGAAACTGCTTGTGAAGGGAATAAAACGCGACGGCTTTGTTGAGGTCCTATCCCCCCCGTTTCTTTGAATACTTGCAATGACCGGTCGGAAAATGCTGCATTCCAAAAATATCCCAAATCAGATTTGGGAACCCGGTTTCTATTTGAACTGGTAATTTTATTTTCTGGGTCAAAATGACACGCTTCTGGATCGATTGCTGGGTCATCAGGTTCAGCTTAGCTGATGGCAAAAGTGTCATTTGACACGCCTCTGGATCATTTGCTGGGCCGTCAGATTCAGCTAAAGCTGATGGCAAAAGTGTCATCTGACACGCTTCTGGATCAATTGCTGGGTCATCAGGTTCAGCTAAAGCTGATGGCAAAAGTGACACTTGACACGCTTCTGGATCAATTGGTGGGCAATCAGGTTTAGCTAAAGCTGATGGCAAGAGTGTCATTTTGACCCAGAAATATATTTGTTTGACCCTGAATAGTATCAGGTCAAATACGACCCAGATTCTGTGTTTAATTTGATTTGGGACTTGTTAGTATGTGGTCAACCCTCCCCTACGAAAAAAAAATGTTTGGTACGCCACTGTCCTGTGTTTAAGGTTTTGCCTTGGATGAACAATAAATGTTATCGGATTGAAATAGAAAGTATTCCGAAGGATTAAAAGGACGTGGAAGGAGACGAAGCCATGGTCCTCTCGGCCCGTGGGTCCTGTCTGTGTGTCGCCGCCGGGCCGGGCTGCAGCTCGGCAGGGCGTCCTTCCCAACTTTGCATGATCTTTATGCTCAGCAGCCGTACAAGTCGAGGCTAGGGTCGGAGAGGTCTAGCGATATATTCTGCATTTCCTCGGTCAGATCTTGACTCTTCTTCACTATGGCTTGGGTTTCCGGTCTCCGAATTTGCCAGTCCTGCAACCTGCACATTCAGATATAAACAATTGGACAGGAAAGATGTCAGCGAAATCATACTCTATTGTTGCAATATTCGTTAGCTTTAACACGAACACTTCCAGATCAGAGCCGTATTTCCATAGGAGGGGTACCTATTTTGGACGCCATTTCTGTTCCAAGAATGGGGGAACAATTCTTTCATGAGACTTCGATGGAATTGTCATGGTTTTGTTTATAGCATTGGTGACAGAATTATTAGAGAAACTAGTGACAGTTTACAACAGTCCCGTAGAGTTGGACATAAAAATGGTGTCCAAATTGATAGTTGTGGCAACTCTCTTCTGTTTCCGGCCCTTAGCGTTTCACAATCACTGAGCCACCAGGCGATTGTCTAGAAGATGCCGTGTTTTCACTTGCATTGAAATCTTGCATATTCAGCAGTTATTGATAAGAATAATGATATTTTGGAGGGCTAATCATCCATACTCGCCGCTGAGATGCTAAACTGCGAAGTACGCAGCTACAGCGTGGTCGGGCAGAAATCTCATTCTAAAAATACATTTGTCAGATTTTACTAGAAACCAGTTAAATTTGACTAGCCACTCAGGGTCAGCTGGGTGCAATTGAAAATCAGTCAATCTGACTAGAAATTTTTGGTCAGTATTTAATAGTTATGCAGATAACTAGGATTTGAGTCAAATCCAACTACTTTTGCTAGTCATAGTATGAAACTTTGCATGCTTATGTTTCACTAAATTCCTAGTCAATTTCAATAACTAGGAAAACCAGTCAATAAGGTTAATTGACCGACTGTTGTTTTTAGAGTTAAGGCATGTAAAGCGACCCATGTCTGACCACGGAGCACAGCCAGATCAAAAGTGTTGATTCTATCCTTTTTTTTTGGTCCCCTTCTTGTTTTTGTTTCCCAAAATAACTCTGTATTCATTATATATGGTCGGTGTCTTTTCTTAGTTGCAGAAAATATAACCGTGTTCGGAAAACTGCCTGTAATCAAACTTTTACCAAAACAGGCACCAACACAGACCGCTGTTGAGAACGGCCACAATGAAACGGTTTCTCGTGACTTACTCTCGTTTCAAGTCTCGAGGCATCGGCACCCGCAGGTCTGCAAATCCAGAGTCTGCCAGATGATGGACATGATTTTCCCCAGAAGCCAGTCTACCTCCCTCGCGTGGTCCGATGACGACGTAAACACTCCACGGTGTCTGGTTGTTTGCCTCACGGAATTGCTTTGGTTCCCCCTGCTGGACGACAGAGGTTTGCGTACTCGCTGAAGTGGACACCAGGCGAATAGTTTCATCCTGACAGACGAAAAAGGGTCGGAAAGGTATATCAAAAGCTATATGACACAAAGTAATGTAAGTATTAGCCTGGTAAACCTTCCCTGACTCGTGTCATGGATTCTTGTCTAGTCGATACTTTCACTACTAAAGTCACACCAAAGGAAGGTCGGTTCATTCTCGAATGAGGGAATTTTTGTGACGGCACCATACGACTTTGCAAAAGTTGAACTCATTTCTGAGACCCGGCGAATTTTGCTCTGAACGTCTCGTGACGTCAAATTCGCCAGGTATAGGAATTCACATATAAAAATGTGGTATTCTTCAACAAGACGGTTGCCCACTACACACGAACGCGAACTCGAAGCAAATTCTACGTCGCAAATAACGTTTGCTGGGAAATTCGCGGAAACTATACCGCTAAGTCAATTTCGTAACATGAACTCGGGGCGTACGTATAATGTCACAAATGTAAATTTTGTTACCAACGTCTTTTATTATCAATGCGAAGTACTTATCTGAGCGATATCAAATTGTTTTTCTACAAATTTTAGAACAACATGCTTTAAATTCCACGTGAATAAGTTAGGAGCTGGAGGCGCCACTCACCGTGAACGGGGCCTTGTAATGAAAACTGTTTGCAGCTTGTGGATGAGAAATATCACTTTCAATACTGTTTAGTTCCTCTTGACATCTTTCTCCCAACTGCAACAAAAAAATACTAACACATATTAATATCCTGTCTTTTGAAATTCTTTACCGTTGTCCTTTTCAGTATATATGTACAACTATCTAGATCTAGTTTCTGTTCTTCGGCACAGAAGTAAAATACTAGTTACAAGTATTGTAACCGCAAAATTTGTTGAACAGTATGTTGGTGTACTATAGGATTTTTGGTTACTTTAATACTTGTATATCATTCAAATCGCATGAAAAGATGCTTCAATTTCGTTCCAAGACGTCGTTGGGCTCCGATGTCAATTTCAATTTCAAATTTACACTAACAGAGTTCAAATGGGGTGCAGTTAAATTCACGAATGTAACATTGTAATTCTTCCTAATATAGTTTGTGAAAATTCATCTCATATGGAGATTTTTGGCGTTGAATTAAAAAAAACCAACTAAATCTTGTTTTGTCATTCATTTAGCGCTTCGGTCATTCAAATTCAAGGCATTTCCTGAATTGCAAGGGAGGAGAATGCAGGACGAAAATAATGACACCTTAAAATGATATCTGTGATGTTCAGTCGAGTTTGACTGCACCTTGTAATGAAATAAAAACCTACGTTACCTTAGTTATAGCTAGTTCTTCAGTAGAAAAGTCAGACACCAGTGGGGTCAGGCTTTGATCCACTTCGGCGATTCGCTGCCTGAAGGAATAGGCTGTGCTGTATTTTGATATAACGGTAATATTGCATTAGACGATATGGCACGGAGCATAATTGTGTCCAATAGTGTCAAATGGTTATCTCAAATAGTGCAAGTGTCATAATATAATTTCAACGAGGCATCACTCACCCAAACCATTTCATCATCTCGGAATGTGTCTCCAGCCAATTACTTTCACAGTGATCATAAACCAGCGAAAGCATCTTGTGTAACGTGTCGTTAAACCTGATTCTGTAACAGATCAGAAATAATGAATTTAAAGTACCTGACGGAAACATTTGTCTCATTTACCGATTCGAACTCTTTAGGCTAGTCTTTGTTTTCTTACTATCAAAAAAGAAGCGGTATTGAGGATAAAACGAAAAATGAAATCCACAAGCCCTACTCTTTTTAATTTTTTTTAAATCATAACACACGAACTAAAGTTCCAAGTCATCTCAACGCAAAATGTGGTGCAAATTTACGCCAAGCGTGCTTTCTGTAGTCTGTTACTTTATAAAGAGGGAAGTTTTACTCTTTTTTTTTTTACTATATCAATTAATTAATTTCCTTAATTTTAACGTTCGATTTTTGCATTCAAAGGACTGCCGCAGTGTCACTGCAGGTTATCAAGATATGTCCCAAAGTCCAAAACAAATATAAATAACATGATTTATGCAAAGGTATACCGTTAGGGGTTACGTTATCTTCAAGAGTAACACCTAAAAAGTTTGAATGTCCACTTCATGCTTAAATTCCAATTTACCGTCACTTATAGCCTAAATTGATTCTTTGTGGTGCAGGAGGAAAGGATAAGGTTAGATTAAGGTTAGGGGTCAATACGGTTATGACCTTTGTGCACAAGTGTATATGGAAATGTGTCACTAAGGTGCAGTGTCCCGTTAATATTATAGCTATGTTTGTGATCGAGTTGTGAAGACACTAGTCGATCTGTGACATTGCCAAGCTTACTTCTCCATCTTGTGTATTTGCTCCGCATTGAACGTGAGGGAGGTCTCCTTGCTGTCCCGGCAGAAATTTGAATAGATTTCCAGAAGCGAGATCAACATGACATCAAGACGGTCCACGCTGTATTACGGAGAAGATAATTACAATAAACCAGTTTTAACACAACATTTTCTGAACAATTTCTTAGATACAAAACGGCGTACATACATCTTTTTGTGTTTGTTTTGTTGGAAAATTGTCCAAAATATTGATTAGTGTGCATAACAACCAAACCACATCATACAATATAATGACTATATACAGGTACAGTGATTCCTGTCAATGAACCCTTCCTTATGGGCAAAGGAGATTTGTGTCGTCATAAGTTATACCTTAGGGAGACACCAGACATTAAGGAGACATTTCAATGTCTCCCTAATGGCACAACTAACGTCACAAATAAGCTAGATCGATGCTCATGGTCCAAAACCTAATTAGACCAGAATGCGTTGGGGTAGGACAAGGGAAATTGGGGTTAGGGGTCATTAAGATTGGGAAAATTTTGTGCACAACCCTATGGGAATCACATCCTAAGTTACCATTCCCCGTATAATGACAATGTATTAAAAATGTGACTGACGTATTGCCTTCGAACTCACTTTTAGTTTTTGAAATGGTGATTCGTCTTACCATTTGTCCCTTGGATGACAACGAAGCAGTTTATTCCATTCCTTCGTCAGAACATCTTGATCCACTATTTGATGGTGGAGCAACCTCAATGTCGCAGCCGTTTCTTCTAATCGTAACGAGAGCTGAACAGGTAAACAAAAAGTCAAGTCCCATGCAAGGTAACGGGGGCTTGACATTATAGTCTACGACTAAAGTTATGCCTTTTTCAAAAAAATTCTTTTTTAAAATTAATTAACAGTCCTTATTCTTCACTTCTCCGTCAACATGTTTGTCCATGACTCGTCTTTCATGATTCTCTTGGCATATCGTAAAAACACAAAACACATTTGAAAACCTCGAAAACGAACCTCGCTCTTCGTGAACCACACTTTCCACCTTCAGAAAACAGCACTTTGAAAATGGTTTTGCCTTTTATGCTAACAAATCAAATAGTGCGGCAACCGATTGCGGACCTCCCACTTTCAATTATCCATATACTGAGAAATTAGTATATTTGGTAAAACTCGTTCGGCACATGTACATAAATAGCCAAACTGGCCAACTCGACACAACTCTGCATCAGTTCAAACGTGGAAAACATCTGGATCAAAATGAAGATTTTTTGTTAAAAAAATTAGACCTTTCTTTGTCAAAAATGTATATGTCAATAGGACACATTTTTCAGTCAAATGCTCCCAAAAAATGAGGTATAACAATAAACAATACAAACAAGGATAGACAAGGAACAAGACTTTTAAGAGTGTATTATATGCTTAGAATGCAGAACATTACCTGCCGTATATTCCCAATTTCCAATGCAACCTCGTTGCCGGAGATTTCAAGGGCGGCTTGCTTTCTGCCAAGCTCGATCTTTTTCCCGTTGGCAATATCTCGGAAAGCGCCCACAAGCGTCTGAGTCGCATCGATTCTTGAGCGCATGCTCTGTAGTTCCGACGGCAACGTCTTGTTTTGGCTTTCCAGTTTATTCAAGTAGTATTCCAGGTGCTTCACTTCTTCTTTTATTACCAGGCTGTTAGGGGATGGTGAAAAGAAATGGTTATGACGGCAATAGATAAATTGTACATTTTTCCAAAAAAAAAACCTTCCGCTTCTCCACAAGATCGTAAGCGAACTATCAAATGTTTTGAAGTAGTGCTAATGTTACCAGATGAAAAACGCTCAATCAAAACTTAACGACTATGTTGCAACACTGATCCGGTAAAAACAATGTGTGAAACGTGGTAAAAATGTTGCTAAACAAGTTATGATGAAAGGAGCTTTAAGTTTAAAAGATACCAAAGAAACTCACGTGAAGGCCTTCACGGCTGCGTTCATTAATTTCTGTATCAGAAGTAGCAGTTCTTGTTTTCGTTTGAGACAAAACACGGCAGCGATGCTTTTCTGAAAGAAACCAATAAATATATATAACATATATAATAAATATATCTAAATTCCGTGGGTTTAGCCCAAATATTATTCTTCTGGGCTTTTCCTTCCACCTCTAAAACTGTAATTTCCTCTCATTGTCTTCTCTCTACAGCTTTCTTTAGGCTTCCGAGTTTACGTGCCCAGGGCACTATTTGGGAAATCCTTGGCTTGGTACCAGAAGTGTTAAAATAGAAAAGATGTAGAATAACTGTTTTGCAAGCACACGATACTGACGCGATAACAAGTTTCGATGCTCTACCGATCTAAATAAACTGAAAAAATGTGAAGAAATCCTGAAATTAGGAACTATCCAACGGCACCCTGTTAGCATCCTGTAAACAGTTTATCATAGTGATCACGACATTCATTTTTGAAACTCACCTTTGTCGCAGGTGCATCTGTGCTCAATGAATACCTAGATGGAACATCCGGTACGGTTGCTGTATAACGAAAAAAACACAAAAAATCACGGTTTAGGTTTTATTTAGAGCTAACGGAGCATCCTACCTTGATGGTTGACCATGTCTGTCGTCGTTCCAACAATCAAAGGAAAGTTGTAACTTTAACGGAAGTAACAAGTTGGGCTGGAATATCAATTTAAAAAGCCTTCCTGGTATAAAAGTACATGAGAGAATTTTACAAAAATGGCAGTTGTCGTTACTAGAGAACTATACTTGTCTAGGGCGATCACGTTTTAGTTACTCAAAAACAGTCTGGCAAATCAATGCGTCATAAAATGCCTCGAATAATGATGCCCTAAACATTCCAACAATGAGCGGGTGCACATTTTTGGTAAACAATGTAACAGATTTCAAACTATTAATCCAAAAATAGCTTCGCATTTGACAATATCGATTCCTTTATATCTGATATTCGTTTCAATATTGACCTATTGACACAAGTTGTACGAGAGATCTTCGAGCACCGAACTACTTATGAGTCAAGTATCTTGATTAAAAAACCCCAGATATTGATGGCCTTACGGATGACAGGGGCGACTGGCGAGACAGAGCCACCAAACGTCGATTTGAAGAGAAATATGGGATTGGCCGGCGTCGTCTCAGGGAAGTCTCGGCACGGCACGTTGGATTCTGGGTAAAATACGGCATCTCCGAAGACGTACATCTGATGGACAGATTGCAATGACGTCTGTATGGCAACGCTCTCCTGAAACTCAGCAAACCTGCAGAAACATTGAGCGGAAAATCACTATTTTGGATGTCATGTTTTTAGAGAAACAATGGTACGGATTGATTTAATGTTCAGAACATTAGGCTCCTTGCAAATAACCTTATAAACAAATGGCTACTCTATATCGTTGAAGCTGTAAACTTAAATTATACTTCCAATATCTAAAGAGGAAATTTATGTAGGTTTTTCTTCCAGAAGTATTGGGTGTCACAAATACATTAAAACTATTGCTGCAATATTTCTAATAATGAATATCCTCGGTAGTGTGTTATAAGATGCAAACATATTTCAATGTTAATGTTAAAGTTCTTTAAAAATATAGATATATATATTTCATAATTTGTACTGGCTGACGTGGCAGAGGAAACGAATCGGAGATGCGAATGAGTTAATGTAGGCCTACATATCCTCAGAGTTCAAGCGTTCACCTTTCTTATAACCAGGTCAAGTTTCATTGAAAAGCCTATTAAGTCGAATCGTGGCGGTATATCTGCCGAATCCGCCAAAGCAGTGCCACAAACTCCGGTTGCTCACAACATCATTTGTAAGTTCCAGCCTGGGTCGAATCAGGTGGGCAATCTTAACATTTCGTGATGGAAGATCGAAAAACGTTACACAGTTTGGTCAGAAAACGTCTGGTGGCTCTAAACAACTACGAAAGTTATGCAGGGCTGAAGGCCACCGTGAACAACAAGTCCAGCAAATTGTAAATGTGTGCTGTATTGTGCTATAAACCTAGATCACGTATACCGAAACGTTTCTGCTGCACGAGTTGTAACCAATCAATGTCTTGCTCTCAGTTTACTTTATTAAAGGACATATTGTTCTTACGAATGTCTTGGATCAATGTATATTTTGAGAGGCTGTGACGTCACGGTGTAGAACACATCCAGGACAGTCATATTAACGATGGCCTGACCGGTGTCAAAAAATGTCCTGAAGGACCATATTCTGGTCACGTCACTTTCGAGGAGACCAGCCAGCATTTCTTCCAAATGAAAGCGCAGACCTCTGAATAAAAAACAACAACAACGACAAAACAAGGTAAGCAACGAGAAAACGTCGTCTATAGGACAAACAACAGAGTCCTGGAAGTAGTAAAAACTTACCCAGCTCTTCAAGTACTCAAAACGAGTGCAGAGAAACTGGTCCCCGACCAATTTGGTCTGACGGGGTCTGGTATGTCATTTTTTTTTTGGGGGGGGGGCAAATGTGAGACTTAACATGTCTAATTCGCAGGTGGTATTGATAGTCATGATTTCAGTCAGTGTGGGATAGGCGAAGCACACGAAAATGAGGCTGAAGCAAGTCAAAATCACAAGTGAAAGTCAGTCAGTCAGTCAGTCAGTTACTATCGGGGAGTCAGTCAGTCAGTAAATCAGTCAAATACAAAGGCAGGACTACACTCTGACCCTGACTTGGTGACCTGCAAAAACTATCACAATAACCACATGTAACTGAAATAGGAATATACTCACTGTGAGAGTTGAGTCGTCTTGGGTAACTCTCTACTCCACTCGATCGGTGCATTTTCCGAGTTTCTTTGAACTCCCGAAATAATTCCTGACGCTTTCAGGGTCGTCATCTGGTGCCTACGAAAAATGTTGTACATTTAATGTTGAGTTGTGTCCTAAATCGAAACAATCACATCTTTACTACAAAGCCTGAAGTCGTGGGTTCATGTCCCAGCCGAGTAACTAAGCATGTGAGTGTTTTCTCGCGAGCCTTCGGCTTAGTGGACTACAGTGACATAAAATACATCGGTTAAGAGCAAAACGCAAGCATTCATTAATTAAAACACAAGGTGCAAATCAAAATTCCATAATAATGAACAAAATTCCGTTACATGAGTTCTTTAATTGATGTCCTTCGTTTCTCAAATTATGCCATTCAATGTATTGTAAAAATAACATAAATTCCAGGAACTATATGATTCTTTTACTTTCAGTAACTTGTAAATTTATATTTGTTTGGCTTTTTTGTTTTGGCAAATGACTTACATTGTGGACCGGTTCTTTCTGCCCCCGTATGGTCTGAAGGGGAGCACCCCCGTAGCGGCGTGATAAAGCGTTACACCTATGCTCCAAAGGTCTACGGAAGCCGTGAACGGCCTTACAAGTGGTTTCCGAAGAACGGCGCGCTCGTACACATCTGGGTGCTGCAAGAAACAAAAAAAGGGGAATGGGTTGATTATTGGGCATCGCACCAACCTCACATGATGTCGAGCACCTCTTAACTGCTCTCTCACCCTTGTATTGGATCATTTACATATCGATATTTTTGTATACCTATGCAACTAGAAATAACCTGGTGCCTGCCTGTGCTGTACCTCAGCAGGTTTTTTTTCCGTATGTATCTGGGGTAAAGACAGAATCAATTCGTCGTGGCTTGAGTTAGGAAAACACGATTTTTTGTTTCAAAGTTTAAATGTCGGCAATCTTATCCAACCAATATGAAGATCACATTCATATTAATACGAGCAAATAGAAAAGGAACTGATTAGTTTTGAGGTTTGGACGTGATAAAATTAACGTGAAAACACGTAAAACACGTTGGAAATAACAACACCAAATACACGATACAAATCCATTACGTGCTAATTGCGGTATCCAATCTAGCCTTTAGTCAAGTCCCACGCGCTTATCCGGACACGTGACGCACCCCGGATGCTGGCACGAAAAAAGACTAGCCCCTCGTGTCTTCGCCACTCGACTGGTCTTTTTTCGTGCCAGAATCTGGGGCGCCACGCGTCCGGGTCATAGACACGCGCGCCTTGACTAAAGGCTCACTACAGTACTGGATACAAGGGTTGAACATAAAGTATGTTATGGGGACGACGTTGGCGTCGTACGCTACCGGATTTCCTCTTGTAATCACCACCTCATTGCCGTATAGGATATCCTAACGACACGGATCCTGAGATCCTGGAGCCGGTGTACTATGAAATTTGGATTATATGAAATACGCACTCAATGGTTGCATGCCTATCTATATGTTAGGATAATAAGGACTGTGGCAGCCATAATGTGAGGGCTAAAAGGTGAAAGAGGACAGACTTCTTAGAAGTCAAAATTTCATATGACACCGGGATATGGCGGATCTGTTGACTGGTACCGACCGCTTTATTCCACCAAATGCACTGGATCCGGCTAAATTGATCTGAGCTCTCATTGGATAGAATTTTGTTCAACCGATGACCTTGGGGCCAACATGTGCACGTGTGCACAGAATGTTCACGGAACACATGGTTTTGAACTTGGCGAAAGCAGCCAAGAATTGAGTTTTCTTCGAACTAGGCCTTGACGGCGATTGGTGGTCACCAATTCCCTATATGGGCTAACGATTTGAGGAAACCGGATTTAAAACTGAGATGTGCACCCATTTTTTTTATCACGATTGCTGCATGATCCCGGAAAGCTCTGCCTAATGACTTCCATATTGTGTCTGTATGTGTCTATGAACTCTCAACTTCGGTGAAAAAAAATCATCAAACAAAGTAATCTCGGACCAAAGTATAACAAAGATTTACGAGGAGACAATAAAGGAAGCAATTAACAAGGTAACAATAAAGGAAGTATGTGTATGCGTTATTATTTAAACGTTATTTATTAGAATTTCAAGGAAACCGGGATAACATATATAGTAATCAGTAAAGGGAAGACAGGGATGATTACCTAACTCAAAATGGATTTTTTTTTATACTCACCAAGTATTCCTCAGTCCCATATATGCTGACAAAGTTCTCGCCCTCTGCGAGTTCACGAGCCGCTCCAAAGTCAGCCAATTTGTACACGGAACAGCCGTCGGGTTCGTAACAGCACATGATGTTGCCCGGCTTGAGGTCACGGTGCACTATTCCTTTGTCTTGAAGATGTTTCATGCCATGACCTATGTTAAAATGTAATTTTTTTTTTTCCAAAATGGTTTGTGGTTTATTATTCATGCTGACAATAATATATTATAATATAAGTAGTATAATTAATGAGCAAAGGAAAACAAAACTCATCAATTTAATTTGGATGAACTTAATGTAAGAAGTTATCCCTTAGAAGACTACAAAATGTACAAATGGCAGTGCTGGTGGTTTTCAAGCAAACCAAAATCCACGAAATACGTCTTCAGCTTTCAAATTTCTCAAATCACTCAATAATAATGGCCGGTTAAAGGCCTCATGCAATGCTACTTTTGTTTATGCAATCCTTGAAAATGTACCTTTGTATCCCATTTAATCTTATTTTCACATTTCGTTTTGCCATTTTCAAGGTTGTTTTTGTCCTTTTTTGGTTTTCATGCTAAAGCAAATATACATATTCATGGCTAAAGTGTTATGTCATTTCAGACAGAAACCTAAATGTTAGTTATTTCAGCACAAAACGTTGCCAGAATGGTGGATATTTTATCTGTCCTATATTCTCTTTTATTTGGTGATTCGTTGTTTTGTCAGGCCAATGAGCAATCATTTCTCACAAATGTCTTTAATAAGCATTTTGTTAGGTTCACAATTTGAACAGAAAACCCCTTAACAGAACAGTGTCTTCCTGAAATGACATCACAACAACATAATTAGAGAAGTGGACCTTCCAATAGAATTAACCAAAAAGGGATGTCAAATAGTTTTTGTACATTTTAAGAGGAGTAGAGAGTTGCAAACAAATATGTTCCTCAGAAAACTTCATTTCACAGACCCTTTAATACTTATGCGAATTGCTTTCACAATACATTTGCTGTGAAATGCGCCAGATTTAAAATGATTATGTTCAACTGCGATTTCGCAGGCAAAAACCGTGACAATGCTCACTCAGTGTTGTCCCAAGTGATTGTGAGACAAACATTGGGACTCGATCCCACGACCTCCCGTTTACTAGTACAGACGTCTTGCTGGGGTTGGCTGGCTGGTTCGAATCTGATATAACAGCGGGTATACCGCACACCAAACTAGTATTTTATTGAATGGAGTGGGGTTTGAAACCCGTATCATCTCTGAGTGGTCCCCGTTTGCTTTCCCCCAGATTTGCACATTACTATGCTGCTGGCTTTGGGCTTTACGGGTAGTGGCTTTTGACTAGCACCCTAGCTTGAACAAAGACATCTCACAAGCTCGGGAACCGTCAACAATAGCTCAGTCGGTACAGAGCACCGGTTCAGGAGGTCGTTTCTTTGTTCAACTTTTCAACGCTTACACTATAGTAACAGCGCAACTGATTTTTTTCACAAATCGTGTTAGAAGAAAATCCTTAGTTACTGTATTGGATAAATTAAATTGATAACCGTTGACACTGAAGGTTTCTGATAGGGGGATTTTTCGCTTGAAAGCTAACCCATATCACGCCATTTCGGCTGACTCTCTTATCACTCAGCAAAACTTCCTCTTTTCAGGTCAATGCACAACGGGCATTGTCATCATTGAGTCGTTCGACAAAAACCAGGCAGGAAACTAAAATTCCCTTCAAAACACCTGTATAGCCCGACCTCTCATGTGACAAGTCAGTTTTAAAAAGGGTGACAATCTATTTTAAAAAGATCATCCGACAGCCAGCATTGTTCAGTCATAGATCTCCATGGTCTGATGTTCGCTGATCCAAAATCTCGTGATGATGATCACAATCACCCACCAACAAAAACAAACTAACTGACAGGTCATTTCTATTTTGATTGGGATGTTTCAAACAGTGTTTGAGCTCAACAATTCCTGTTTGCTCTCCATCACAACTAAACATCTGATATTTACCCATGATAAGCATGACGTTTCAGTTGTTTCGAAATTAGGCCAGTAGGAAAAAAACATGTTTAGCGACCTGCCTTTTTGAAAAAAAAGGAGGAGGCCCCCCTTTTTCCCTCCAAAATAATGGCGCCCAAACGGGCTTTTTTTTTTCAAGATGGCCGCCAATTTTTTTTATTTTTTTTTTGGCCACCACCTTGACTCAGGAAATGACATACCGTGCATCTATATATGGGCTAGTTGCAACAGACAAAGAGGCCAAAATGATGTCACTGTTTAAACTCTATCATTTTGGGGCTTTTACACAAAATAGGAGGCGGCCACGCTCCATGAAACTTCCAGCCAATCAGGGATAAAGGGAGGGTCGAACAATCCAATCACAATTAAGTGGGTTGGGTTAAGGACAACTGATTGTAAAAGTGAGATAGTTAAAGTAAGAGTTGAATTCAATAGAAGGAGAAATGGCTTGGAATTGAAACATTACAGGCGGGTTGTACGTGTGTCTCTCTCATACTCTCTCTCCCTTGTATAATAAGTGTCAGGGATAATCTGCACCATTAAGAAGGGAGATTGGAATCAGCACTGTTGCCACGCTACCCAATGACAGACCGGTGCTGATTCCCAGGGGATATGACTACAACTACGTGTAAATGATAAACCGCTCGGAAGGTCTTTTACAGAATATACGACCTTCCCTGCAACTGATGAGGTCTACTTACTGACGTCCCGGAGAAGGATCTTGAACTCCGTCTCGGCCAAACCAAAGGAGTTCTCGGGTCTGTCCAAGACATTGAAGAGGCTACCGCCCTCACACAGCTCCATGATGATAACCCGGTCATGGGAACTAGACTGCAAAATCACAACAGGATAGATGGGTTTTTTTTCATATTAGATACAATCATGTCGCTGAAACATAATCGAAAACACTCATGCCTCATATAGCTCGGACATATACAATCGTGTATATCTGAATGAAACTATGAATCAAACAATTCATACCAAAAATTTTTTAAATGTAACTTTGTTTTTGAAAGTTAATAAGACTGCTGCAAAGTGCTTACTGCACTGACTGGATTGGCCTGAAAGATTAATGCGGCCTGACGCTGCGAACTTAACAAGTTCCTTTTTTCAGAGGCAAAATGACAGCGGTACAAGAAACAAAAATGTAGGGACTCACAAACATGCAGGGTTGCATGTTGTTATTAATTCAACATTCTTACTAAGATAAGGACATCATTCAGGTCCTATAACTGAATTTTTGGGAGTGGATTTCTCCCATGTCGCAAGTGGATTCCGTGCATAGTTTCTGCTTTTTTTGTGGCGAGTACGCACTTCGTGAATATCGATGCCTACAATGATTGAACATCAGAAGTTTATAGAGAAGTCTTTATCACAACTTCACAAGTCATATCAAAAGCAAATCACAAGCAAATCACATGTCAAATCGTGAGTTAGGTTTAGTGTTACACGAAATAGGGAGTACACAATTTAGTCACAGTTTATATATAGCGTACCGCTTGTAATTGTGGCTCAATTCGTCGCATATCTGACGAAGTGACGAATCGGTCATTTTGGAGTTTTTTTTATTAATTGAGTTTTATGGTTAAAAATATTCGAATTTTCAGATTTTTAGGTTTTTATTTCATGAAAACACTTCATTTTTGTTGTTCCGAAACCCACTAAGTGACGAATCGGCACATATCGGAAAAACTTTGTCTTGCGAACTGACGAATAAATTATTCGACGCTTGGTCATATCAGAACAGCGCGCATCCAGTATCTGACGAAGTGACGAATAACCAGTTATTCATTGGTTACGCACACACCCGTCTTAATAATTGAATGGCGTATGAGGGAACCAGGGATCTTCTGTTTCGCGCGCTTTCCGTCAGCTTTCAAAACAAACTAACGGCGCTGCAACATTATAATGATGACTAAAAAGAGATAACCGTTACTACTTCACCTTTATGTAATTTTGTGTATGTAGAGTTGTAATCCTAAAATGAACGGAGTACAAAATGTACTAGGCTAGGACTGCACGACGGACAGGCTTATACAGACTGAGATTCATTTAAAACGTGCGATATACTTTCCTTCAAAACCGGCGTTGTATAGGAATTCCACAAAAGGTCTACTGCATTTCAAGAAAATCTCGAAAACGGTCCCCTTTAAGTGGCTAATATGAGCTGAAAACCTCATTTTAATCAGCCCATACTGAAATGAAGTGCCTCCTAGGGGTTGAAAATTAGGATATTTTTTTTTTAAAACGTGCCGTCCACTTTCTTTCATAAACGGCGTTTCATAGGAAAGCATTATTACTGCATTTCGACGGAGTCCATTTAAGCGGCTACTTAAAGCAAAATACATTATTGGAATAAACCAATACTGAAATGAAGTGCACCCTAGAAGGTGAAAATAGGATTATTAAATAAAAATATTATTTATTCAAAACATATGCGGTACACTTTCTTTAAAAACTGCGTTCAATGGGAGACCCGAAATACTGCATTTCGAGATATTCTCGAAAATGGAACCCCTTTAAGTGGCTAATTTGAGCATAAGACCTCATGGGAAAAAGCCCACAATGAAAATAAAGAGTGCCCAGGAAGGTGATACTTAGGATGATGACATAAAACTATGTTTTATTTGTAGATTTTCTTTCAAAGACGGCATTTTTAAGGAAACCCAAAACACTGCATTTCGAGATATTCTCGAAAACGGAGCCTCTTTAAGTGGCTAATTAGAACAGAAAAACCTCATTGAATGAGCCTATACTGAAATAACGTGTGCCCTAGCTGGTGAGTGATGATTAGGATAATGAAATAAAAATATAAATTATTTCAACGTGTGCGGTACACTTTCTTTCAAAGACGACGTTTTATAGGATACCCAAAATTCATTTCGAGATACAGGTTTTGTATTCTCGAAAACGGAGCCCTTTAAGCGGCTAATGAAAGCAGAATGCCTAAGGATAACAAGCCGTTACTGAGATTATTGTACCCTAGAAGACAATAATTATGGGATTTTGAGACAAAACTGATTGTTTTTAAAACAATTGCTGTCTTATATGAATGAATGAATGAATGAATAAATAGTGTTGTTCGTTGTTAGTTCGCCTTCACAGTTTTGTGTTCCTACTATTTTGTTGCGTCCATTCGAGATATTTTCCTTTTGAATAACTTTTTTATTAGGCTACTGTATATTATTAAAACATTATAGCAAGTACTTGGATTTGAACGTGGGGTTTAAGTGTTACCATATTTTTTCCTAAAAAGAAAATAGAAAATGTTTGTAAAACAAACACATTTCTTTGAAAATGCGCGTAGTGTTGTAAAGAAGTGACGAATATGCAATGGATTTGTGATGCAAAAACGCGCGCACAGTCAAAATGTTATCCTACAAAGTGACGAATAAGATATTTTTACGTGGCGAATAAGCACAATGACGTTTAAATTTATCTCGCGAAGTGACGAATAAGTTTCACAGCAAAAATTAGACAAACCTTTAGTCTTACGAGTAAAAAACAAATGAATAGATATATTTTAACAATCAAATAACTACCTTGAATAAATTAAGAATGTACAAAAGGGGAAAGTAGCATCGAAAAGGGACACGTAAAATGTGTTCAACTTTAAACGCGTTTTTCTCAGAATTGCGTTTACGCGTAATCGCGCGTATTCGTCGGTTCGTCAGATATGCGACGAATTGACTCATACATGAGAACCTGTAAGGACTTGACTAAACAGAGTGATACTTTTATGAACTTACATCCTCCTCGATGGCCAGCAGTTTCACTATGTTCGGGTGTTTGAGCTTAAGCAGAACGTCGAACTCCCTGTGCTGCACGCTGCCGGGTCTCCGAAAACTCACATTGTTGAAAACCTTCACAGCTACCCTCTCGCCAGATTTCTAGAGAAAACAAGAAAACCCAGACAAACGGTTCACATTATTGCTCGGCACTATTATAGGTAATATACAACATTTTGCAAACACCAAAAATACCAAAATACTATGAAATACCTTACTTGACTGTATAAGAGAATAATGGGTGCAATCAAGTAAATAGGCCAATACTCAGTGCGCTGAGCTAATGAATTAAAAGAATTACACTCAATTCTTCTATATTACAGGGTTCTGAGAGCCATGGAATTGGGGAATTGAAGAGATATGGCAATGAACCTCTGGCCTGGACGACTTGGGACTTCCAATCCTGAGCATTTTGGATGCAACTGGGTCCAAAAGTGGCGCTATCTAGCCATGTTGTGAAGGAATCTGTTTTTTCAAAATGGCAACTTTCCAGTTTGGGAAATATCGTTCGATTTACTAGGGGTGGTCTTCTTTGGGTGAGAATTTCTCCAAAATGTCATCAACTCACCAAAAATTGAAAAGAAAATGAAAGATGACATATTGATCATCATTTTTCTGTGCAGCCTGAATACCCGTGAGAGTTTTGAGTATTTTAAATAGTATGGGGATGTATAACTGCATTGTGTCTATGGGAATTTATTTGCTTGGTTGCATCCTAATAGTCTCTAGCATCCTGTGAAATCATGGCACCTGCTGTGCTGTCATTTTCAAGAACAAGTGGAATTTTTGTTTCTATTTCCAACGAGGTCGGACTTTTGTCCAAATACTGCATGCCCCTAATTCGCCAAATTTAGTAGTCCACATTTTGTTTACAACATCCGTGAACGGGTGCCTGACCTGACAAATCCCCGACGTATATCGTTTATATTTTGATTTATATTTTGATTTGCGAATAAACGACAATGCCAGTACACGTTTCAAGAATTTGGAGGGACAAATTGAAAGCTTTCCCCGCGCTAATTTTGTCCTTCACTCCGAATAATAGATTTATTTTTACAATGCTATTTTTTTCTAGGAATAAAAAGGTATTCACTTTTGAATGCAACATCCCAAAAAAAAAACCAACCCGTCAATGTTTAAAGAAATTATTACTTTACAAATTGCAAATTCTTTCGGCCCGGTAATATAATTCACGCATGATCCTTTGTGCGTTATAGGATGCAGATTTTGACAAACTCCCAAAACAATATAAATATACAGGACGGGACAAATGTCGCGCTCCTTCCCCTCTTGGTACAGTTGTTGTAGAATCATCACAAGTCGGATCCCAAGTCAATTCAAAAGTCCGGGAAAAAAATTGAGAACGAGGAAGAAATTTTTCGTAGCTTCTGGCGACTTATGACGGACTCAGTTAGCCTACATTGCAACTCTGCTTCCTGAATACTTCCTGAATTATGGCTTATCGTTTACTTTTAAAAGTTCAGAATGGTTTGTGTTTACTATTGTCGATGGTACGATTGTACAATAATGACAAATTCATACTGCAGAACAACTCGACAGAACCCTGATAGTTCAAGGACGAATGAATTGACAGAAGACAGGATACACAACAACTATATTAATAAAGATAATGTTTTGATGGTTGATGTCATACCGACCTTTTCTCTGCCACCAAATACACTGCCTGTAGCGCCTTCCCCCTTCTTATCGTCCGTGTAGTAGATGTAAGACTGCGTGCTTCGTAGCTGTCGAGGTTCTTTGCGTGCATGTACTTGAAATCGGGAAAACATAGTATCCTGGAGTGAAGAAGAAATAAAGTTGCGTTCTTGAAACTTTTAGTAGCCCAGTGTCAGTGGACGACGAACTTTCCAGATGACTGCTTTTTAATCTAAACTTAAATTGAACGACTATATATACGCTGGGTCCGCCCTCATTTTTTTAGTATTAAATGTTTCGATCATATTTATATCAATGAAAGTTAATTAATCTCAAATCATTTTATATTTTGCTGCACGTGCGCGCAGCCGGTAAGTTCGGTACAAAATGCATTTCCATGCTGCATGCACAACAATATATAGCTTGAAAAGTTGAAGGGACTTCCTTGTATGCTGCATGGTTTAATGCACAATGTAAGAAAGGACATTCCGATGTGATGACGTCAATCTTGTTCCGGCGGCGGGGTTATGGCGGTTTCCCAGGCCATAGAAAAGCGGACAAGTGCATATTTGGGCACACGCGATGATACACAACAGGTCGCGGTGGCAACGCAAAAAGTGTTAGAACAACAACTCTGTTTTCAATTTCTATACGTATTGCTTTGGTTTTTAAATCATGGTTTTTCTCAAGACATGCACCCTCACAGAAGATTTGCAAGCATTGTGCCATCGAAAATTTCCGGCGTTCCCTTACAAAACCAATTACATAACCAAACGGGCTTCCTTATCGTAGGCTAATCCTTTCATACAGCCAAAAAAAGTGTGTAATAAGGGAATTTGTTACTTTCCGGATAGCTGTCACCTTGAAACAATTGACATCACTCACTCAAAAATGTAGCACCATTGCGAAAAAAAGAGAACAAGTCATACTCCAACCAGTAAGACAAGAACGAAAACGGGTTTAAAACTCACAGGTATAATAATTGAGGGTGCACACAAACATGCAGGGCTGAAAGAAGAAACACAAAAGGAGGATTAAGTGGGAAAGGTGTAGAAAGATGCAGGGGAGGGTGGATGAGAGAACAAAGAAACAAAGGGAGATGGCAAACCACAAGGGGTCTGGTGTGAACAGGGGAGGGACCAGAAAGGGGAAGGATCAAAGGTCACAGGGAGTGGGAACGGACAAAAGAGTGTGAGAGTGAAGGGATGATGCGGGGGGGGGGGGGGGGAACAGTATGGAGGTGGAAAGGGATGAAAGATGGGGGAAGATGGGTAAACACAAACAAGGAAGACCAGATGGATTAGCTGTAACAGAAGACAATGGAGGAAAAAAAGGATTAATCATTTCCAAGTTGGATGTTGAGACCATGTGGTTGAATAGTTCGAAGACGATTCATCCACACTTTCTCTCTGCTGAGGCGAACTGAGTCCTTGCGATGGCCAAGAGATTCAATGCCCTGCAAAATCATATCAGAAATGGAGTGGTTAGGCAGGTTGAAGTGATGACCAACAGGGGTGTCCAGTTTCTTGGTGTTGACCGTTGACCGGTGGGCATAGAAACGCTTCTTGAGCGTATTCTTAGTCTCACCTACATACTGCACTCCACAGACCCTGCAAGAAATGAGATATATGACATTAGGGGTGTTACAAGTGATGTTACCAATGGTTCTGTGGGTAGTGACAGAAGAGTGGCCAGAAAAGGAGTCAGACTCCTGGATATGAATCTGGCAGACAACACATCTGGAACTGCACTTGAAAGTACCATGCTGGGTGGGAGGGGATGCATCTAAGGATGGGACTTCAGCTCGAACAATCAAGTCCCGTAGATTTCGAGGACGCCTGTAAGCCAATGTGGGGCCGTTGGGGATGGCGCGGGCAAGGCGATCTGAAGTATGGAGGATATGATGATTGTCATTAGTGATTTTGCGAAGGGGAGGGAGATTGGGGTGAAACGTGGTAACCAAGGGAATCATGGGTTTGGCCATGGCATCAGGGGCCTTTCCCGTGAGAGCTAGATTTCTGGGGATAGCTTTAGCTCTGGCAATGGCACGATGAACTTGGCGAGAGCTGTGACCCCTGGCCACCAAGTTGTTCCTCAGTATCTGTGTATGGCGGGAGACTGTTACAGCTAATCCATCTGGTCTTCCTTGTTTGTGTTTACCCATCTTCCCCCATCTTTCATCCCTTTCCACCTCCATACTGTTCCCCCCCCCCCGCATCATCCCTTCACTCTCACACTCTTTTGTCCGTTCCCACTCCCTGTGACCTTTGATCCTTCCCCTTTCTGGTCCCTCCCCTGTTCACACCAGACCCCTTGTGGTTTGCCATCTCCCTTTGTTTCTTTGTTCTCTCATCCACCCTCCCCTGCATCTTTCTACACCTTTCCCACTTAATCCTCCTTTTGTGTTTCTTCTTTCAGCCCTGCATGTTTGTGTGCACCCCCATGTTAATGTATGTACCTCTGTCATTTCTGTTTTAGCCTCTGAAGAAGAACTTGCTAAGTTCGCAACGTCAGGCCACATTAATTTTAAGATTTATATATTTCAGGTCCATCCAGTCAGTAAGCAGTTTGCAGCAGTTTTACTTTTTTACAGGTATAATAATTGAAATAAATTGGATGGCAAGTTGAACATAAAAAACATGCACAGTCAAACGGACGGTTCTCAAGTTTTGCGCGTTTTATAGCTTTGCGCGAATTCTGATTAATTGTTTACTTTTCACGTCCACCGTGGATGGACCCATTTTGCAGCACCTCCCTAAATACAATGTACAAACAAATAAACCTAACAAAACGACGTAAAAACACACCGCGGCAAAATGGAACGAATGGACCGTTACTATGATAAACGTGATCAACATCATTGGGTTATTTTTTAGCTGCGCATGGCTGTACAACGTCATTTCAATCAGCTTAAGTCATCATCAATTTGTCGTGACCTGAATGTTGTGCTCCCGTTTGATTTATATGTCATCTGTCACGAACCGAGTGGTATTTTAAGCTTGGTCACCGTGACTTTTAAATATCATCATTGTTTGTTGTTGAATTTAATTATGTAAAATGCACACACAAACAGGAAACCACAAACAAGTTACAATTAGATTCTAAAAACAAGGTGTTAAAATGCACACAGCAAAAACTGTCAAGCAATTAAACACTTTTCAAAAGTCAATCTTGCTACAAGCCTATCACTTTGTAAACATGATTTAATACTAAACGCGTTCAGAGTATTGATGGCTGATGTTCAGCTATTGATCATGTATGTTTTAGGAGCTGGACACTTAGTTTTTTAGCTTCTAAGTTTACAAACTTTTAACAAGATTGTGTTTAATTGCTAAACACAATTTTTGGACTGTAACAAAAACGAGGGGTTGTCGAGGATAATATAGTTGATGGATAATGCTGATATGCACAAATCCGTAAGCCTATCACTTTGTAAAAATGTTTTAATACTAACACGTTCAGAGTATTGATGGATAATGTTCAGCAATTGATGATGTATGTTTAAGAGCTGGACATGTATGTTTAGGAGCTGGACACTTAATATTTTAGCTTCCAAGTAGACAACTGATAGAAAGATTGTGTTTAATTGCTTAACACAAAATTCTTGGAGTGTGTACCAAAAACGAGGGGTTGTCGATGATAATAAAAAGCCATACAGTTACTTAATGGGAAGAAACAACATTTGCAAACATCACAAAACGAAATGATCAAATAATCACGAAATACCTCACTTTAGTTATTAGTCTAAAACATCCTGTAAAATTGTGGCTCCTGGTGTGCTGTCATTTTCAAGAAAAATGGTATTTTTCCAACGCTGGTCGGCCGACCAGCGTTGGAGAAAACTGGCTGTTTTCAAAAACTGCTTCTAATTTTTCATAATTAGTTATTCCGCGTTTTCTTTGCAATTGATTACACACCTATGAAGGGGTAAGTACAAGCCTGCTAGACTAATTCTCTGACCTTACAATTTCCCAAAGTCTTGATTGCTTTGTTTCATCTAAAGTGGGGTCAGGGAACCAGACTTCAAGAACATGATTGGTTTTCATGGTTTTTCCAGCATCTACAAGCCCAAACATGAAACAGGTGATTTCAACAATATTTGCTATCACATACTAATCCTCCAAATCCATTTATTTCTGAAAATTGCAGCATAAGCAAATGTTGTACATTCCCTTAAATTTGCATTGTGATCCTCTTATTTCCACTGTACGTGGTCTATTTCTCTACAATACGAGCATATTTTTTATTCAATAATTATTGTTCCCTTTTTCCAGAAAAGAACACCATGCAGCGTGTAGTAATGTATGTAATAGAAAATAGCACGTAACGCACGCTAAACACGGAAGTCACGGAATCTTTTTTTACAAAGCGGATACAGTAATCATTGTCACATCTAGGCATGGTACGTGTGGGGAAGACCCTCACTCACCCCCAAAATTTCCCCAAAAAATAACCCCTTCTCTAAATTCCCATTTTATAGGAATAAAAACGTTACTAACGTTTGAGTGAGGCATCCACCTAAACAAATTGGCCCACGTTTAGACATTGAATTGTTACGTTACACATTTCGAATTTACTTAGCCCGACAATAATTCCCTTCTTGTGAGTTAATCTGGTTCCCAGCTTAACTAGTCCGGTTCCCAGACCTGACAATTATTCCCGACGCTTACGTCTAAATTGTAGGTCAGGCCAACCTCGTCCCCAGTGCTTACTTTATTTCCAACGTTGTTTCCAATAGTAAACCCTGGATAGGAAACTTCCTTCCTGCATCCTGATTCGATACTGCAATTGGCTAGAAATGGATTTATATCGTGTACTTGGTGTTGTTATTCACAACGTGCAGTACGTGTTTTCGCAATCATTAATCGTCCACGCCTTCTCAAAAATACTAATTTTCTTTCCAATTTGTTCATATTAATATGACATGTGATACTGCATGTTGTCTCGTTAAGATCGTAACAGTTTAATTAAAATAAAATCATGTTTTCGTAACTCACGCCATGCTCGCGCTGCGACGAATTGATTCTGTTTTTACCCCAGACACCGCATACAAAAACAAACGCAAATGTAACGCACAGGCAGGTACCAGACTACTCCTAATTTGCATACGTGTTCAAAAATCTTGCACATGCAAATGATCCAATACCAGGGTGAAAGAGCAGGTAGTGGTGGGCGCGTACTGCTCGACACCCTGGGGACGAGGTTGAGGTCAGGCAGCCTCTGTGACTAAAAATAAATATGACGACATTGATGGCCCTTTTTCAAAGCTCGGCTTCGTTTACGATTTCGCTTTATCACTTTTAGCTTTTAAAGTTCTGATCAGATTTTTAAATAAATCACTTGCTTCGTAATATCATACAGTTATGATAATAGAGTTTGATGATTCTGTAAGATAACATTGACTAATGTTGATCTGGAATCTTCAAAATTAGAGACCCAAATAGCACTGTTAGCAGGCGGAGCCGAATGAAGACTGAGTTTTGGAAAATCTCGGTAACGGTCGTCAAATTCAAAATTGTACATGACGCAGCAAAAAGTTCGCCCATACGATCCGAGTATATTTGATGCACCAAATCGTCTTTGAATTTCAAGTTTCTAAATGAAAGCAAAGAATAGTAATTATCAACTCATTAAAAAAATTAATAAGCAATTAGCAGTTAAGTAAACCTATATTATACTCGGAAATACTCGGGCGCTTTCCGATTGTGGACGAAACGAATTCGGCAAACTTCGGAAATTTTCGGAAAAAGAAGGATTTCCTCCCGTTTTAGTCACGTGACGTAAATTGTAATACAATGTAAAACCGGAGGCTACCTGACCTAAGATTCATCAGGAATAGTCAGAATCTTTTGTTCTGGGAACCAGACCACAGCTTAACATACCGTCAATATCATATTGCACGGTCTAGGAACCAGTCTGCTCTCGAGGCGGAGCTCTTTGTTCAAAAAAGTGAAAACCTTTATTACGAGGGTTTGAAGACGAACAAAAAAAAAGACTTTCTTTTTTGAGGGGAGGGGGTTGAAAAGTTATTAAGAGAAAACAAAATCGGAAAATGTTGAACAGTACGCATGGCGAACAACCCTACGAAAACCCAGATGTAAACAAAGCGTGACTCATTTTGTCTGAGGGATACTCGATAAATCACACGTGGCTTCCCGTTCCAGAGTTTTCCCCTGTTCCATTTACACGGATATGCCTTGAAACTTAAATTGGACAACTCCTTAAATAAATTTACCAGTACATTTTACGGTAAAACGAGAGTGTATACATTTTGTCACAGGTGAATCACAGTGAGACAAAAATTCTTGCAGATCGAGTCACACAAAGGAAAATCTCAGTCATCGATATGAGATCGATAATATGAAATTCATTGACAAGGCATGTAAATTTGCCCATGAACTTAGTCAATAATTACACAATATCTATATATCGGACACAAAACCAATAGCATAGGCTAATGATGCTTAATACATCGTGTACGTACCGTATACATGTAAATCTTTCCATGAATTTCGTTCCGTCTTTGTAGGTATCTAGCACGGAACGGTACCTAAGCGAACGTTATTACCTATAATATGACGTATCCTCCAAACAAAAGGCTCCCATTGTGACATGCTGAACAATACCCGTGTCACGCATATAATAGGCCTTCTTTCGGTGAGTGTCTTGCGATACAAAGTTATCCGCGATAAGTACGGATTAAGGATCGGATTAAGGCGCTGAGTGACGGCCGGACTGCCCGGCGCACATTGTCCGCTTGGCAATCGCGAGAGGGCCCCGGAATGCGGGAGTTTTAAAAGCGTATACATGTATTGAACATGTGAAATAGGAAATAACATTAACAATTAATTCTGCGCTGGCGTCGATAAGAACCTCGTTTACATAATTATAATAGGATTAGGTGTGGTTGGGAGTAGACTGCCTTACGTACCCTAACTTGGCATCTGATTGGCTGTCCCGTAGATTGTGTACATTGCCGATAACAAAGGAAAAACGCAATGGGAGGGACTTGGTGGGCCTAGGACGCTGATGCGTGAAAATGAATGTACATTTGTACATGTACATGTAGCTATGTACATGTATATGTCCGGGATCAGGGGTTCGAACAACATTTTCCAACAACACTACTTCGAATTCAGGTTGATTGTAAAAATGGATATGCGAAGGGTCAGGGGTGTGTTGGCTGCTTGTGCGAGTAGCCTTCCTCCGCCACTTGATTCAGGTTCTAAGACAGGAATTGTCGATATATTATCGACACTAGATGTTAGTATGCCAATGCCGAATGTGCCTCCACCTACGTTCTATGAACTCGTTTTTACGGGGCCTTTGAACAGTTTCAACGGACGGGATGTCTACACGACTCCGATTCGCCAACCGAAGTCCTTTTGGATGGAGACAGGGGAAACGGTGGAGTCATTTGGCAACCTTTTAGCGTTTGTCGGGCCAGCATTGCAAGAGGAGGAAAGGGAAAATATTGAAGGGAGGAGGAGGAGGAAAAGACTCCTCGATGCCAACAACCGACTGTTACTTACACTGATATGGCAACGAAAGTACCAGGACTTTAACTCTTTATCCGTACTCTTTGATGTCAGCGAATCGACCGCCCAAAGGATAACGAAGACAGTGACGGGAGTGCTATGGGATGCTCTAACGGGGGAAATACGGTGGCCGAACGAAGCCGTTTGGAACTCAATGCGGAACGTGTGGGCCACATTTCCGAATGGAGTTGGAACCATAGATGGGACGTCGCATGAAATATTCACACCTGAAGATGACCAACACCTGTACTACAGTGGTCATCGTCATCGACACTGCCTTCAAACACAGATAATAGCTGATTCGAAGGGAAATATAAGATACCTGCATGTAAGTAACATTTATTGCCGTTATCATAGCGCAAAATAAATGAAGAACACATTATTGGTTCACAACATAATTATTGACTTTTTTTTAAACATGAATACCAATATAACAATGACTTTGGGAATACACACTGGATTGTATGACAATCACTATATTGTATAACAATTAGCATCGTTAAAAAATACTAGCACATCAGTTGTGCACTGTAACTATATAAACGCCAAATAAAGGCAAATTATTCATCAGCTGTAGATTAATCACCACAAGTTAGGCGCGCAGGAATCATAAACATACATTAATTACACCTTATTATAAATGAGGTTTTCTTTTTCTTCTTAGTCCGGTTTCCTTGGACACACGAACGATGCGGCACAGTATCGCCTCCTCCCTGAGATAGGCCACCAGCGTCGTCTTCATCTTCCGGAGGGAACATACTTGCTGGCTGACATGATTTATCCCAACGAGGAGCCGCTCTTAACACCTTGGAAGGCAAATCAACTTCGTGGTGAGGAACGATACAGGAGGAAAATGTTTAACAAAGAACATGCATCTGCTCGAGTGGCTATTGAACACGCCATCCGACATTTAAAGACATACCGCATAATGCAGGGGCGATATAGAAATAACAGGGACTTGTTTTCGCAAATTGCTGATGTCTGCGTCTGCCTTGCGCAGCGCCATGTCAAATTCTATGGACAACTCCGTTAACCCTTCAAGTCAACCTAGCCATACACACTGGGATTTAGTACAGAAAGAAAATTGTGAGGCTATTGTTTTACACTTGTACATGTGATAGGAGTACGTACAATGATTTTTACTTTAGTAATGATTCCTTTATTTTTGTTAAATCTGAGTTAACCTGTATCATTTTTTGTGTGGAAATTGCAAATAAATGAAATGAATACAGACAAGCATCAGTTTAAAGGTGGAATAACGCCCACCCTATATTGTTAGGCCTATGTCATAATATAAACGCCAGTCACACTCTTGACATGAAAAAGGTAAAAACAAAGAAAGCAGTTAGATTCTACCATTATGGTTGTCGCCTCATTTTTGTTGTTGAATGACAATGCTGTTTCTAAATGTGCCATGTCCTCCTTTATTGGCCTAAAATTAGGATTTTGATTTTATCAAACAATATTGACAATTTAACTCCTCATGCAGCTTTACTTAAAAGCGAGGTTGCCATGAAGTGGTAAGCGACGTCTTTGTTCCTTACCTCTACAAATTCTCTTCGATAGCATCCAAAATCCTATCCACCCTTTCCACTCGCACCTGATGGGCATCTAGCATGTCCGAGAAACTTTCCTGGTTCCTCCTTGCAAGTGCCCAGAGAGGCTCTCTCCGCCGAGGGGGTACAATCGGTGGGGGTGGGGGTACAATCGGTGGGGGTGGGGGTACTTCCGCGACGGCGTTTAGCCGGTCCATTTCCTCTTGTCTGGCCCTCCATGGAGCAACAGGCCCAGCATGCCGCATCTCTTGTTCTCGTTCTTCCACTGCACTGGAAATCAATGGTGTACATGATGTACATAAGTTACATGGGCTTAACGCATGTACATGGATTTTGTAGCCTGAATTACTGGACTTTGGAATCATTTACGCTTAATTTAAGTTCACCTTGGTGGTAAGAAAATTCCCATAAAAATAATGGAGAAACATCCTAAATTTGTTTTTTTAAAAGATACCTTCAGATTCCCTAGATACTTTGTTAATGGCAAATTCCTTGATTTTGTTTCTTACTTACCCTTGTAATTCCCTTTGGACGTAATCCCGGATCCTCCTTCGTAGGGCTGCATGAGTCCTGCCTCCTTCGTACACCTCCCGTAAATTGGCGGGAATGTGGCGCCGCACGTACGCTAAAATTCTCACGTAGTTGTTGCGGTGTATATTCCACCCATCTCTAATCACAGCTTTCTCCTCCTCAGTCATGACACGACGCCCGCGATGTTCTCTCAGCCATTTTCTGATTGCCTCCTACCACGTACAACATCCACTGAAATAATCCGCCCCAACCTATTCTTATTGCATTGAACGGAGGTTGTTATCGACGCCAGCACAGAATTAATTGTTAATGTTATTTCCTATTTCACATGTTCAATATACGCTTTTAAAACTCCCGCATTCAGGGGCCCTCTCGTGATTGTCAAGCGGACAATGTGCGCTGGGCAGTTCGGCCGTCACTCAGCGCCTTAATCCGATCCTTAATCCGTACTTATCGCGGGCAACTTTGTATCGCAAGACACTCACCGAAAGAAGGCCTATTATATGCGTGACACGGGTATTGTTCAGCATGTCACAATGGGAGCCTTTTGTTTGGAGGATACGTCATATTATAGGTAATAACGTTCGCTTAGGTACCGTTCCTTGCTAGATACCTTATACCACGTAGTGTGCCCAGTCTGTGTATTCGGTCTTTTGTACCGGGAACCCGCCAAATGTAACGTGATAGGTTCGCGCCGGCGGGAAAAACAAAACCAGTCAATGGTTGATATGATGGAATTGAAGTTCCGCGTATAGACCATTACACATGAAACCATGAGTGCATAGTGTTCAATATAATAACAGTGGGCGTATTCGTCATGCGTGATACTACATTAGCTGTAGTTCACGAACCTGACCTTCAGGTGCAAAGAGCAAGTGTTATCAAAATGCACGTTTTAAAACCATTTGTTTTGGGGGGCGGGGCCGGGCGGACTATTTAGGAAGGGAGGAACATGACTAAGGCCTTGTACGTGATAAAAACAATTCTTACGAGTTAAGCGATTCACAAAATAGTCTTTTGCAATCATCATGATGGACAGCAAACATTGATACCCGATCACCACTATCATCCCTACCTCACCATCAGCACCATCGATCCTCACCACCCTGGTGATCACCACACACCGTAAGGACCACCATCAACCTCAATCGGTGTTACAATCGTCACCCTCTTCACTATCACTCGTACGTCATCCTCACTACCCCTCCGGGAATATTCTCACAATCATCACCATCCTAGCAGCGAGGCATTTTCAACCACGTCACCACTCTCATTCACCACCATGTTTATATTTCTCGGTATCACCATCAACATCGTTGTTATTTAGTTTGCATTCCTGTTGAAACCCCAGACGGGCGCAAGAATAAATCAAAACAAGATGTACATGGCCGAACGGAAACGGTTGCTGGTAAACTCCCGAGGAATTTTGGAAAAATCCGCCTTTTAAGTTAAATAAAGTTTCCAGCCTCAGGTTAGTGGTAGGAGATACACTATATAGGGCTAAAGAATCATCCTGAACCTAACACACGTTCTGTGAAATAAAAAAAAATAATTTGGAAAACTAATTCACCTTTTTTCTTCTAAATCAAAAACAATGCAGTAATTTTTAGTATTCCGTCTCTGCTCTATGCCACCTTGAGAAATGTTACAAGCCCGCAAACACGTCCATTGTTTATGGAAACGAGTATCTATGCAACGAACGTCCATGGTTACCACCCTCACGGTCACAATGAATGCCAGTACATGTATATGCCGACGGTGAAGCACTAGTCGTGACCCTTTTAATTAGTGTGACTTATGAACTGAATCCAAGTGAAAGGCATTTAAATCAACAATTGGAACATCCAGTATTTTTCTTGATAAATATTGAACTCGTCTCCATGAAAACGAAAACATAAATTGAGCAACAAGAGTATTTTTTCCATGAAAACAATTATCAGATCAATATAGTACTCTATGGCAATATTATACCATGTCGACAATGCATGGACTTAGCTTTAAGCGCACCAATGACGTCACGCATTGAGTGACGTGCGTGGATTCACTGGGGCGGAAAAACCCACAAAGACCATGCCATTAGTACAAGTCATGTACACGTATGACATACAATAACCTTGTTGAACTCTTTTCATAGTGCGCCAACGCAACGAAAACACAAATAAACACGGAAGTTTCATAGCCCTAGTGACAACACGTAAAGGATCAAGGGCCGAGAGAGAGATAGTTGTGAAAATCGTAATGGAATATCCTAAAAACAGACGAAGACGTGACCTAGCAAAGTGACCTAGCTAGAACATAATAAAACTTTTTTTTGACGTTTTGTGTTTGCAGGGACATACCTGTAAATTCAACGTGTCATGGGCAGAGATCCCGGAGGGGATGAGGGGATATCCCCCCCCCACACACAGACACACATTTTGGGCAGGGCGGGGGGGGGGGGGACGGTGTATACAATCATCCCCAGAATTTCCCTTTATTACATAGCGCCCTCAATCTGCGAATAGCAGGCCTAAAAAAAATTCAGGGTCACTTTTTGGGGGATTTAACTAAACAAAAAAATTGTGATCATCCTCCCCCGCCCCCACTTTGTGACACAAATCTCCGCAAATTGCCTACCTACTTTAGGCGACGCCCCACCCTTATGACCATGGTTGTAGGTCAACATCTGCATGGTTTCCATGTCGATGTTACGCTTACGCAGTACAGTATAGGGAACGGTCGGCATAGTTGAACGTGTTCGCCGATCGTCTGCAAGGTAGTTTACGTCTGTCTGAGTTGTCTGCGACACTTCCGAATGAAATGTTTCCATTATGTCTGCGTTGCAGTTTGAGTCATGTTTGCGTTTGTCTTTGCGTTTCCTTCGTCGATGTGTACACTATTATAGGCTTTACTCTAAAGATTAGGACTAGGCCTATCCCCGGTTACTAATCTTGAATCATTCAAATTCTATGAACATTCGTTGGGCTTCATTGTTAATTCCGATTCCAACACCAATCTCCCCATGAGACTATAATAATTTCCCGAAACTGGGAAGACACAAAATGCTATTGCAAGTACGGGGTCGTTTATAATAGGATGACATTTTAGGTTCTACATATAGTAGCGGTTCTCCCGGGGGGGGGGGGGGGGGGCTTAGCAACCACTTGCACTAGCAAAATGTAAGAATGTGACGTACATGCGAACGGTCTCCCCCCTAAAATAAATAGTCGTGATAAGGGTGCATTTGTACACTTCTAGTTAATAATTATAGTGTGCCTGATTGTAGGATTTTATCAGCGCTCCACATTGAAAATATGGCCCCCCCCCCACCACCACCACCACCACCACCACACCTATTGATTTTCGGAGGCAAGTGTCTGGAGAAAATACCTGGTCTATTATAGGACTATTTCAGTACGCATCCCTGAAAAAAATATGGATCCACCCTGCGACCCCCCCCCCCCAAAAAAATATACATATATATTGGCTCTAGAACCGCGCCTGTCCTACATGCATTTGCGTCCAAGTTCAGACGGTCCATATAATATACCGTACCGAGTACTGACATCCTTCCAAGCTTACAGCGTCTATAGTATACTGATAACGTAAAGTCCTGCGGCGCGGTTCGGTTGTATAGTCGCTACAAACCATAAACCCATCAGTAAATGAAAGTGGGAAGGTGCGACGCATAAATTCATACACGAGACTCTCAGGCTTCTGCCAGTGGAGTTTCTGTCCTCTTCTTCACAAGCGATGACCGTCCACACACAGCGTACTTCGAATAACCATGTCTAGTTACAAGATCTTACCCTTTTTATAGCAAATATCCTCCATAGAACCACGTACAAAGTCAATATAGTCCGGTTGTGCAATCATATACAATCTAATGATGCAATAACCAAAGTTTACATAAAAAATAGAGCTGACTCTGCAAAAACAACAGTTCGCGCTTTTTCATAAACAAAGTAAAGGAGACTAAGTGATAAAACACTGTAATACACTTGAGCGGTACACTATAGTCGTGATTTTTAATACTCCACCAAAAGTTGAAATCTATTGGAGTGTGTAAATTTTAAATTCGAAATTAACAATGGAGCCCAACAACGTTCTTGAACGCAATTAAAAGACATGTCCGTGGAATTTAAATGATCATACATGTGTTATGGCTCCATGGTTGAAGTAACCGAGAAAACTATATATTAGACATATTTGAAAACAATGTTGAAAACAACTTTTGGTTCATCGTTTTAAGGTCAACGTGAGTTTTAAGGCCCTACTGATCCGTATCATGGAGGATCCGGAGTGCGCTTAATGATTCCCTTTCGAGGAAAGGGATTTTCTCGATCTTGAGCCCCTCGTCGTAGTCTGAGGATCAGACGTTTACGTGCGAGTGCAGAGCCACACAACAAACGTCTGATCTAGTGCATGTGTACATTTCATTCGAACCCGCGCGCCAGCCAATCGCAACCGCCTTTAGAGCTTGTGACGTCATTTAGAGCAGTAATTGGGCAAAGCTGCTGAGTGGTCGATATCTGCTATGTTTTTTTTTCGTACAACATCGAATTACGGAAGACACGATAGAACGCGCCCGATGAATATAGTTAGAATGTGGGGGTAAAGACTAACCCTACCCGCGGTTTGCCCTCAGACAGTAACACACTTAGTTTACATACCCAACGCCGTCATTCGGTACACTATAAAATTATGAAGTCGGCATGTCATGATCATACCAAGCTGATCCCAAGTTTTATTGAAAAGTAGCCTACACGATCAACGTCGCCACTGCTAAAAATCTCAACATGCCGTCAATTTCAAGGGATCATGGAATATGCGCCAGTTGACAATTTCATATCATTTCAGTCAATGAAATTGAAATGCCAAGCTAAAAAGCGGACCCAAATGTAACATACTGTATGCGTATATCTCGGTCCGTCCGGGACGTGGTTTTATTATGTTAATATGGATAGAGCAAAACATTCAAGCCAGATTTTTTTATCGCATCAATTATAAGTTTTTATAATATATAATACGTCAGTGATGGCAAAACCGTATTGATTTACATCACTGGCACCCCGACGCAAATATTTCATCTTATGAAAAGTATTAACCTATTTTCTACTTTTACATTCATAGTTTACTTAAACCAAACTTACGGATATATCTGTTGTCTTCCGCCACCGCCGAATCAAATGCGTTCCAGAATTTGAAGTGAGAAATAAGTGCGCGACTCGATGTTTTTATTTGTCGATGATTCGAATGCAGACACGTAGGCCTAATTCTGTAGAACAATTCCATGTCGACCATCAATTTTGTCGAGTCATCCATTCTTCGAATCATGCAAATTGAGCGAAAAGGTGATTTTGTTTTGATTTTTTTTTTTATATTAGGTAACAAAAGCATTAAGACATGACGAAAGGTCTGTCAAGTGTTAGGCAACAGTCCGCACATGATCGTGACTCATGTCATCATGACACATCATTCATGGCGCAAACTGGCAAAAACCGGTCATTGCCTCAAGTGTAGCGCCCTCTCTTGACGGATGACTAGTCTGGTTCCGCAGGGTGACCGTTTTAGCTGATTTTCGGGTAACTTTGACAGAATTTTTGTTAAAAAGCGAGTTTGACAGAAAATTTGACAGAATTGATTTTTTTGGCAGATTTCTGGCAGAATCCTGCAAAAATGGATATTTGACAGAAAAACAGTAAATTTGAAAATTAAAGGTACAGTTGTTTAAAAAAGCTTCAATCTTTTTGAACAAACCCTTGCACAACGGAGCAGGCTGGCTAGTCTATCTTTCATATCTTTATGTGAGTAAATTGTTTATAATGTAATTTGAACCTTAATTAAGGCAATACTACAACATCTGCATGTGATTTTAAGTGTATATAGTGTATTTTGAGTGATTTGGGGGAATTTGGCAGATTTTTGACGAATCTGACAAATTGCATTTAGCAGAATTTGGCAATGACCTTACGGTCACCCTGTGGTTCCGCTACCTGACAATTCCGCCTATAACTTGTAGGTCAGGCAGCCGCGGCCGCGCCGCCAGGGCGTTTTTTTTCCTTTGGGGCCGGCTGAAGGCGATGGGGTTATAGGCCGTCCGCTCACTCGATAGGCCTAGACTGCATGGGCGTCGCGAGGAGGGGGGGGGGGGGGGCAAGGGGGCGCTCCCCCCCCCCTGCCAAGCCCAAAAAAAGAGGAAAAAACAAACAAAACGAGGCGCGAAGTCATTTTATTGTTAATTTAATGGGTTGGTAAATCCGGAAAATGCTGGGAAATTATAGGGATTGTTTTGGGGAAAATGTGCTTAATTGCCCCCCTCTAGAAAAAAAAATCATCAGCTGGCGGCGCCCATGGCCTAAAGACGGCTGCTGCGTGATGAAACTCTTTCAGGACCGGCGGTTTTTGGGCCTTTTTTCCAGCTTCTGTTGTAGAGTAGATTTCTCCTCGGCCTCTGGCGCTACATGGTGTTCATCCAGCGCGCACGGTGACCGAAAGGTCAGAGCCAAATTCTGCTAAATGCGCATCAAAAATCTGTCAGATTTATCAAAAATCTGCCAAATTCCCCAGAATTACTCGAAATACACTATAAACACTTAAAATCACATGCAGATCGGTAGTATTACCTTAATTAATATTCAAATTACATAATAAACGATCTAGTCATATAAAGATGTTGTGAAATTATTGGTAAATTTTGGGCAAAACGCGGATTTTCCCAGTGAACCTCAGCACCTAGACCAGCCAACTTGTCCCATTATCCAAGGGTTTGTTTGAAAGGATTGAAGCTTTTTCAAACAATATGTACACTTTTTTGTTCAAATTTGATGTTTTTCTGTCAAATAATCATTTTTGCAGAATTCTGCCAGAAATCTGCCCAAAAAAATCCATTCTGTCAATTTTTTTGTCAAACTCGTTTTTTAACAAAAGTTCTGTCAAAGTTAGCCGAAAATCGGCTAAAACGGTCACCCTGCCAGCGCGTGGGTGATCGTCGGCGAGTTCAATTCACAGCATCGTTTCAATTTATACATGATTATTATACATAACTCTATTATGAACGGCATCATTGAAATAAATATGTTACTTCTACAGTGCGGCTTTTTTTCCCAGGATGATCTAGTTAGGGTATCTGAATTTGGCATCCTTTCGATATGCGCCCAAAATAAAATAGCCTTTTCATTTTGATGGTCTGAACTATGTCTAGCTTAATGCCAGCCTGTTGGGGGAAATGCCATGCATAATTCAATTTTTCCTTTGAATCAAGACACTTAGGTTCTCGTTCTTTTTTTTCTCTCCTTACAGGGAATGTACAACATTTGCTTTTGCTGCAATTTAAATTGGAGGATTAGTTTGTCATAACAAATATTGTTAAACTAATTGTTTCACTTTTTGGGCTTGTAGATGCTGGAAAACCAAGAAAACCATCATGTTCTTGTAGTCTGGTTCCCTGACCCCACTTAAGATGAAACGGACCAATTTATAGACTTTAGGGAATTGTACGGTCAGCGAATCAGTTTAGCAGGCTTGTAATCCTTTACAGGTGTCGCAAAGCAAATGTGGAATAACAAAATATGAAAAATTAGGAGCTCTGGAAAAATACAAATTTTCTTGAAAATGTATATAAAAAAAGCACAAGGAGCCACGATTTTACACTGTGCTTCAGACTGTCATCCCCTAACCATCCAGTAAGGTATGCATTTCGTGATAATTTGATCATTTCGGTTTTTGATGTTTGCAAATGGTGTATCTTCCCTTTAAATTAAAATTATCCTAATGATAAATTTAGAGAAGAATAAGTCGATGAAAATGAACAGCGACGAAGGGGATTCATCACGCTAGCCACTAAAAATTAAGTTGACTAAATAACAACAAAGCTATTGATATCATTGTTCTGTTCTCATGAATAAATATACTGACCCGATCGAAACTACTGAATTATTCATGACTTGGGCCTAACCATCCTAGGAATAAAAATTACGCCAGCCGCCACTAGTCTGAGTACAGTATCACCCGTTATCCACGGAGCAAGTTTCCTGTATAACGTCTGATATGTCTAGACATGCAGATTATGCAAGTCGCGCGCCATGCCAATAGGAGTCGACTTTACTAACGTGGCGTCATTTTATTCCATTTTATAGGGGCCATTCAGAATTTTCAATGTTTTAAAATTTCGACTTTTTTTCCAAATTATTTTGACCCACCCACCCACCCCTAATTTCGATTAATAAAAAACTGAACATGACTGTACATGTACATGCACTTGCATGTACATGTACTTGAACACCATGTACATGTGTGTCTAGTTCAGTGACGGCGTGAAGTTGTTGGTCATCCTCTTTTATGTGATAAAATATGTGATACCTCACCAACAAGTATCTTTTAACGAAATTCAATCAGAATATTACGGAGCTTTTAAAGGGACAAAGGTGAAAAAAAAAATTGAAAAAAATCATCGTAAGAATGAAAAAAAATCTGCGTTCGAACGAAAAAAATCTGCGTTCGAACGAAAAAAAATCTGCGTTCGAACGAAAAAAATCTGCGTTCGAACGAAAAAAATCTGCGTTCGAACGAAAAAAATCTGCGTTCGAACGAAAAAAATCTGCGTTCGAACGAAAAAAATCTGCGTTCGAACGAAATCAAATTTTGTTTCATCTATTTACTTTTAACCAATGACTTTTTAAAGCGAATGAGATGTAAGTTTTCTTCTGTTTCTGAGAATGGAATGGTACTGTATTTGACATATCGTATTTGAAATATATCGTACATATGCAAGATTGCTACACTTATCAAATCCATTTCCTTACTCGCTTTATTTCGACGGAAAGTGTACGGGTCGTCAAATTATTATTTTTATATCAACTTTTTGTCTTCTATATGTCCTATTGAATATTCCTATTTGTTTGGATAGTAGAAAGTTGTACCATTACCCTTGCCCAGTTAGTTAAAAACAAACAAACAAACAAACTTGCACACTTGTCTACATGCAAAGAACTAAAACTTTGGATGTGTAGATGAAATTATCACATTTGTTTTTTGGGGGTTTGTTTCTTTTTTCTTTTTCCATTTTTTTTTTTGAGCGATGCATTATCGCACGTTTGCTACCTTCCTTTTTTCAGTCATCAATTTCAATTTTACCACCGCACGAAGTTAAATAGTTTAAGGACGTACTGATTTTTGTCAATATGTATCGGTATGATAAGGAACCAACTTGCTGTAAGAAGATTTTTTTTTTCTTCTTCTTGTAGGATTTTACATGTCATGGTTGTGTTTAAAATTTCTTCGCCGCATTTTTCCAGTCAGGGAACATCTGACATTTTACTATTCCGTTTGAATACTGATAAAATTGTCTTTGAAACATCGTTACAATAACTTTATCCAACTTTACTGCGGACTGACTTGCAGGTAGTAATTTTTTTTGTTCATTTTGTTAATGTCTTGACAGGACCGGGGATTTGTTTACAATCCTGAAGATTTTCCCGCTCTCAATCGACATGATGCAGTTTCTGCACCAGAACATGCAAAAGATGAGGTAAAAACAACAAATGTATTTGCAGTTTTCAAGTTGAGAGTTGCCCAACATTGCCCATGACGTCACGAACTATTTTGAATGGGTGGAAAAATGTGTATACATGTACACTGTACAGGTCTGGACTTGCCCACACTCTTTTGTCGACGACACATTGTGTATTTGTTAATGCTATTACCGACACACAATAGAAATCACGGAAACTTTCACAATTTCGTCGCGCCGACGAGTACCAGATATAAGACTCCTCCAACTTTTTTGTATCATTACAGTTTTGGTCAAAGTCACAACAACAACTGCTGTTCCTACCCTACTTCATTAGAAATTAGTTCTGACTAATTTGTATTATTCATCATTTTATTTGTTGCATCAGGAACCCCTGGAGGTACCCTCAAAAAAGCGGAAGATGAAGAAAACACCCGGCCTTCACGAATGTTTGATTTGTTCTAAAACATTCGCCCGCAGAGATGCTCTACGCCGGCACAAGGTCGTACACACTGGCAACAAGAGTGTGTCCTGCCCCAAGTGCGATGCTACATTCCGGCGTGCAGATAATATGAAACGTCATCTGCGCACACAGCACCGGGGTCCTTCAAATCCACCCGCTGCCAGCACCAACCAACCGACTGCATCCACCACCCCACCGCAGGACCAACCCGGCTGTAGCCACGGGCCGACACCATCAGCACCCGTTAACCCAACCGCTGCCAGCACCAACCCACCCACCTCGTTCTCAATCCCGTCGCAGGACCAACAACCCGGCTGTAGCCACTGGTCGTCACCAGTACCCTCTGCTGGGCCTACCGTCTCAACATCGCCAACTCTCCCGACACCCGCAGCTCCCCCAACACAACCTGCCTCCGGTCCACCCAATGATCCACGTAAATGTCCCGAATGTAGAAAGACATTTACTCGCGTGGATTCCTTGAATCGTCATTTCACCAAATTTCACAGCAGGCGAAGGGAATCTTCAGCATCACCTCAGCCAGGTGACGAACTTTTTCAAGAAGATCCTTTCCTATTTACAGAGGATGACGATGACGAACAATCGCGCGTTATTCGAGACAACTGGGACAGTATCAGAACTCATCAGCTCACGGAACAACCCGTCGAAGATGTGTTCAACATCCGAATCGCCCGATCAAAGAAAAATTACAAAAACACTGTTAAGTCAATCCTCTCCAAACTGACCAATGGGGAGAGAATTAACATCTCGTTCGGAGCAGTTGTCCGACATGTGGAGACAGGAGAACTGCGATACTTTGATCCCGACACTGCCAGGTATTTTCCCGATTCAGTGAATTTTAATTCCCAGCAAGTCGCGGAACAGTTCATCGAGCAGTTTCAGAATTCGGATATAACTGAATTTGTCCGACAACACCTGCCAAACTGGTTTGTTGTTTCCGTCACAAATGTGAGACTTTTCATCCGTCAGCCCGCGGATCCCTTAGAAGAAGATCCTGAAGATTTTCCCGAGGCGTTGAGAAATGATGAAAATGAACATTCGCGTGTGTATAGAGAAAACTGGGCGGCCATCAGAACGCATCACCTTGTCGGTCGCGTGGTGCAAGACATTTATAACGTGCGTATGGACCTGCCGTTATGTTCATTGGCTAGAATCATGAATAGCGTGTTCAAAAAACTCACCTGCCGGGGGAAAATTAATATTTCCTTTGGATTCATCCTCCGACATGCGGAAACTGGAGAATTAAGGTATTTTCATCCTTCGTACAACAATGCCAAATTATTCTCTACCGCAATCACCATCGGCTCTCGGGACGACATGGACAATTTAATCTTGCGGTTGGAACAAATGGATATTTTGGAACATTTAAGACAGCAGCGTCCGGACACAAAATGGACCGTGGTGTCACTGACCAATGTTGCTATCTATGTCAACAAGATGGAGCAATTTTACATAGGTACTCCTAGTCGCGACTTACCCGACTTCATCAAGAACAACAGGGGTGTAGACAGTCTGACACACAACGCGCATAGTGGGCAGAGGTACGCCGACAACCTCTGCTTTTTCAGGTGTCTAGCTCTTCACCGTGGAGCAACGATGGAGGCGCTCGAGAGACCAACGCGACATCTGGTGGAAACCTTTCAAAGGGCTACTGGAAGGCAAGTCTCCAAAGGAGTTACCATGGAGGATGTAACTACAGCCGAGCAAGAATTCCAGGTGAATATACAAGTCTACAGCTTGACACAGCACGACGGCGGTGGTGATGGATTGCCACAAACCAAGGTCCAGCTCATCCGCCGTTCTGCCCGCCGACATCCGTCCACCCTCTACCTCAATCTTTTTGAGGACCACTTTTCTTATATTGCGGACTTGAAGAAATATAGTCAGCACTATGAGTGCACAAAATGCAGAACGGTATTCGACAGATCCTTCAACCTCCAGCGCCACGAACCGATTTGCAACGTTAACGTGAAGCATAAGTTCCCCGGTGGCGTGTACAGTTTACCACAGACAATTTTTGACAAGCTGGAAGATGTGGGGATTAACGTCGACGATGACTTAAAATACTTTCCCTATCGAGCCACATATGACTATGAGTGTTATTTCGACGAAGTAGCAGATCGAAATGCCGGCCAAGGTGGAAAACTGAAATGGTGCAATCGTCACGAACTGCTTAGTGTCAGCGTCGCGAGCAACGTTCCGAACTTTGAATCCTTAAGGTGTTTTGTGTCAGAAGGTGACCCTGGTGATCTCGTCGAAAAAAATGGTACATTATCTGCACCAGATAAGCGAGGCCGCATTTCACAACATGGTTGAAAATTTTGACGATGTTTTCAACCGCATCCAAGAGATAATCGATGATCAGAAACAACGAGCCGGGCAACAGCATCAGGAACACAGTGAAACACCTGCCAAAAAAGTGCCAGGGGAGAAGTTGAAGGATGCATTGGAGCAGTACTTGAAGGAACTACCCGTGATCGGTTTCAATTCAGCAAAGTACGACATCAACGTAATAAAAAAGTACTTGTACAAGAAATTACAGGAGGCAGGCGATCCGGTGGAGATGGTCATCAAGAGAACTGGTTCGTATATGTCCCTCAAAACTCAAAAATTGAAGTTCCTCGATATCACTAATTATCTTGCCCCTGGATATTCTTACGCAAAATTTTTAAAGGCGTACGAGTGTCCGAGCGCCAAGGGTTTCTTCCCGTACGAGTATATGACAGACCTGGACAAACTGCACGAAACAGAACTGCCACCCCACGCTGCTTTCTATAGCACGCTAAAAGACGAAAACATCTCTGAGGACGACTACCACTACTGTCAGCAAATTTGGCGGGACAAAAGCATGACGACGCTTCGTGATTTTTTAATGTGGTACAACAATCTAGACGTTGTTCCATTTCTGGACGCCATTCACAAAATGTTTGAATTCTACAAAGAGCGTCAAATGGATATGTTTAAGTCCGCTATCTCTGTCCCCGGCTTGTCGCTACAGTATCTCTTCCTCACCCTGCCTCAGCCAGACGTCCACTTCAGCCTCATAGACGAAGCGAACAAAGACGTATACTACGCCATTAAGGCTAACATCGTGGGTGGTCCTTCCATCGTTTTTCATCGATATCATGAGAAGGAGAAGACATTCATTCGTGGAGGTAAACTGTGTCAGAATATTGTGGGCTTTGACGCCAACGCGTTGTATTTATGGTCGCTCATGCAGGACATGCCCGTTGGGACTTTTGTCCGTAGAAAGGCTGATCAAAACTTCAAGCCGTTTCAAAGCCAAAAGTGGGGTGTTATGGCAGCCGAATGGATGGACTGGGTGGCTTATACAGATGGTGTTTACATACAGCATAAACTCAATGCCAAAGAAAAACAAGTTGGTGACAGACAAATCCCTGTGGACGGTTTTTGTAAACAAAATAATACAGTGTACCAGTTTCAAGGGTGCTTCTGGCACGGTCACCGGTGCCATCTCAATAAGAGCGAGTTTAACCATGTTAGGAAAACCAGTATGGATGAGTTGAGGCAACAGACAGAGCAGACTTCCGCCTATATTCGACAACACGGCTTTCAACTAAAAGAGATGTGGGAGTGTGAGTGGCGGCAAATCCTATCCACCGAGCCAGGCGCAAAGCAGTTTGTAGAGTCACACAGACTACCCCACCACAACCGTAAGACGATGAACCAACGGGAAATCATCAACGCAGTGATGGACGGGTCCATTTTTGGTCTTATCGAGTGTGACATCGAAGTCCCGGAAGCTTTGAGAGATGACTTCGCAGAAATGCCGCCTATTTTTAAGAATGTGGACATTGACAGAGCGGATATCGGTGAGCATATGCGGAGTTACGCCGAACGAGAAGGAGTGATGAAAACACCGCGGCGCAGTCTGATCGGCAGCATGTTCGCTAAGAAAATCCTTTTAGCCACGCCACTCCTCCAATGGTACCTCAATCATGGTCTGGAGGTCCTGCACATCCATGAAGTCATCCAGTATAGACCATCAGCATGTTTCAAGCCCTTTGGAGAGGCGGTTAGCGACGCAAGAAGGGATGGTGATTCGGATCCAACAAAAGCCATCATCGCCGACACGATGAAGCTGTTAGGCAATTCAGCGTACGGAAAAACGGTTACAAATCAAGAAAAACATCTACAGGTGAAAGTCTGCAGCAGCAACGAAGAAGCCACCCGTCTCATAAACAATCCCAACTTCAGATCCCTGCACACTCTCGATGATGAACTCTTTGAAGTCGAACTTAACAAAAAATCAATACGCCTTGGCCTCCCTCTCCAAATAGGGTTTTGCGTATATCAGTATGCAAAACTGCGCATGTTGGAGTTTTATTATGACTTTCTCCTGACATTCATAGATCCGTCCGACTTTCAGCTCTGCGAAATGGACACCGACTCAGCGTACCTGGCGATATCTGGGGAGAGCTTAGACACCATCGTGAAACCTGAGTTGCAAGAGGAATTCCAGCGAGAGAAGGGATCCTGGTTCCCACGTGAAGACAGCGCAGCTCACCGTGCCTATGACAAGCGGACGCCCGGGCTTTTCAAGGTCGAATGGGAAGGGGACGGCATCGTGGCTTTGTGTAGCAAGACCTACTACTGTTTCGGCACAAAAGACAAGGTGAGTTGTAAAGGACTTTACATTTTTCCAGTCAGGAAACATCTGTCGTTTTACTATTGCGTTTGATTATTGATACAATTGTTTTTTGAAACATCGTTACAATAACTTCATCCAACCTACTGTGGATTGACTTGCCAATAGTAATTTTTTCTTTCTTTCTTTCTTTTTCCGTTCATTTTGTTAAAGGTGAGCTGTAAAGGACTTAACAAAAGATCAAACGAGATTACAAAGAGAACCTACCTTGACACGTTGGAGACGCAGCAAGCTGGTGGGGGCGTCAACAGAGGAATCCGAATGCGGCAGGATGGTATGTACACCTACGAGCAGGAGAAGACGGCCTTCAGCTATCTCTACCCAAAGCGGAAGGTGGCAGAAGACGGGGTGTCAACCACTTACCTAGACTTATAAGTTATTTATTAGGGCCATCGATCAGCATCAACACCGTGACGTTAAATAAGATGTAAAGTGGTGGTGGTTAATTTATTTATATATTTAAGATTATTTGGTTCTTTTTTTTTTATGGTGGAGGAATTTCTTTGCAAAATAAGAACTATCAAAATTTTCTAATTTTGACTTTTGAAACCAAACTTATTAAACGACAAGTACAAGCTGATAATACACCTTAATACAAAGTACAAGCTGATAATATACCTTAATATTGCAAAAGTAAATTTAATTCCACTGGTTAAATCTATCGCACATTTGACTTGACATAATGAAAAAAGGTTTTATAATTGATTTATTTTGATTATTTATTCACATTTAAATGTGTATTTGTTGAAATGAAAAAAAAAAAAAAAAAAAAAAAAAAAAAAGGAAAGTCAAAAATATAATATGTGTACAAAGAAAAAAAAGAGAAACGACAAAAAAAAACAGTCTCTGTCACTTTTATTTGTAAACACTTAATTGATATAAAAACAATAATCGTAGCGTTTACTTTTAATTTCTTCTCAATGGGTGGGATGGGGGGGGGGTTTAACTCAATAAAGATTGCAATCCTTATCCTTTATAAATCAAGTACAGAACAAAATAGGTTCATTTGGTCAAATGGATTCGAGACTGAAACATCCTTTTACTGGTGTAATCGCTGGTCCGACTGGGAGCGGGAAAACTCAGTTTGTAAAGCGCCTTATTTTAGCTGAGGGAAATACACTGATTGAACCCGCTATTGATAATATCATTTGGTGTTACGGGGAATATCAAGATGCTTACGACCATCTGGCTAGTCTGGTCCCTCAGATACGATTTGTGGAGGGGTACCCCGATGATTTACTACAGTCCCTGGACCGAAGTCAAAGAAACCTGGTTGTGATAGACGACCTCATGTCCGAAAGCGGCAACAATGTAAAGGTCACTGAACTATTTACCAAGGGTAGTCATCACAGAAACCTATCGGTTATTCTCATACTACAGAATTTATTTTACAAGGGGAAGGAAATGCGAACCATTAGTTTGAACGCTCATTACATGGTTCTGTTTAAAAACCCGAGAGACGCTTCGCAAATTACACATTTAGCGCGCCAAATGTACCCCACTAAGTCCAAGTATATGATGGAGGCCTACCGCGATGCGACATCCGCCCCCTACGGCTATCTCTTCGTAGATTTAAAGCCCGAAACCCCCGAAATTGTACGTCTCAGGACCAGAATTTTTCCCGGCGAATATCCCATCGTTTACACTCAAAAGGTATAAAGGATTGTGTTTAGAACGGACGGCAATCATTTGAAGATGTCGAGGCGTGTGCATCACAACGCTCCCTACCTGCATGTGCTGGCTAAGGGAAGCGACAAGCAACGACAGGGTGTGATACAAGGAGCCAACAAGGAACTGATACATTGTTTGTGCGAGTGCGCCCTCAACGTCCTCAACGGTAACATTTCCCTGAAACCAGCCGAAAAGAAGAAATTACTGAAATATAAACGTCAATTGAGAGTTCTCAGTAATAAGAAAATCGGCATTCAGAAGAAAAAGAAAGTGTTACGTCAGAAAGGAGGTTTTCTCGGTGCTTTACTCACTCCAATATTGGGCGCTCTTGGTGGATTATTGTTTAAATAAACATGGAGCACACCAAGAAAATGGTTCTGGTACCTCAGGAAACGTTGACAAAACTTCAATCGACCAGACGATTGGAACAAACACCGACCACGCGAGTGGTACACAGTTTGGATGGTGAGATGAGAGAGCTACTGGAAAGGAAAAATCTTTCAGACGAGGATAAAATTAAACTGTACCACCAGACGCTGAACAGATACATTAATTTAAATAAACAGAGAATGGCACCGCTGACTATGACTTTAGAAACCAAGAAGACGGACGATCAACCGCCCAACCTGGAGCCGATACCGCATGGTCCACCGAAGTTGGAGCGTGAACTTAGCTTTGGTGATTCCTCTAAACTAAAATTACACTTGAAGGAAGAACCAGAGGAAGAAGAGTCTTTCCACCTGCCCCGATTGTTTGCCGAAGCGTCCCATCTGAAAACTACGCCGAAAGCGAAGAAAAAGAAAACAATGGCGAGTACAAGCACACCGCGTTCGAAACCCAAATGGACTCCCTATTAATACGCACGCACTACCCCGCATTGGTTAAAAGTAAATAGATGAAACAAAATTTGATTTCAAACATGGTTGGAAGAGTCCATAGAGAAATAATTGTGCAACAATCACTGTTCAAATGTTTAATATAAAGTAGCGCCTCGGTTATATATATATATATATATATATATATATATATATATATATATATATATATATATATATATATATATATATATATATATATATATATATATATATATATATATATATATATATATATATATATATGTATCTATACATAAAAAAGAAAAAAAAAACCAAGAGAGAAGAATAAACACTTACATTTTCGTACATCTCGTCGGCGATTCGTTGAATCTCATCCAGTTGACTGTCCGTGAAGTCAGGGCTTTCCCATGGTTGAGACATGATGAAACGGCGCTAAAATGTTGATCGTTGAAGACGGAATAAAGTTGCTTGTCGACTCTCTGAGGATCTACCAGAATTGAACCTCCGGCCGTGAGCTCCTTGCTTATATCTCTCCAGAAAAAAATATCCATATTCACAAAGACACCATGGTAACCTGATCAACAATCTTTTGGATGGACAAGCTTGTCTTAAACATTTCTAAGATCCCCGTGAATGAAGTGATATTTGTTGTCAAAGTTTCTCCAGCAACCACGGGTCTTTCCCACGGACCACTGGCACCAGTCTTAGAATTAGAACAGAGGCCAATGTGACGGACAGCTCATCTTAGTAATTACGAAAGCCCATCTTTAGAAATTAGGAAAGCCCATGTGATTGTTGTGGAAATTTCTCCGGCAACCACGGGTCTTTCCCACGGACCACTGGCACCAGTCTTAGAATTAGAACAGAGACCCATGTGACGGACCGCTCATCTTAGAAGTTGAGAAAGCTCATCTGTATAAATTAGGAAAGCCCATGTGATTGTTGTGGAAATTTCTCCGGCAACCACGGGTCTTTTCCACGGACCACTGGCACCAGTCTTAGAATTAGAACAGAGACCCATGTGACGTACCGCTCATCTTAGAAGATGAGAAAGCTCATCTTTAGAATTTAAGAAAGCCCATGTGATGATTGTTGTAGAAGTTTCTCCGACAACCACGGGTCTTTCCCACGGACCACTGGCACCAGTCTTAGAATTAGAACAGAGGCCCATGTGACGGACCGCTCATCTTAGAAGTTGAGAAAGCTCATCTGTATAAATTAGGAAAGCCCATATAGGAAGTGTATTTAGCCTGCATAACGTTTTAACTTCGTTTTAATCAAGGTGATTGGCAGCCCGTCTTTAGAAATTGAGAAAGCCCGTCTTTAGAAATTGAAAAAGCCCGTTGGGGCTCTGGACTTCACACTGTACAAACGTTTTAACTTCGTGTTCACGACAAACTTTCTTAGATTAGTTCAATAGTCTATTTTTGAAGACAAAAATAAAAATAAAAAAAAAGAAGTAAATATATAAATAAATAAATACATAAATAAATAAAATAAAACAGCACTAGAGCCGTGCTCGCGACTTCATCGCTCACACACTAGCCTCGAGACAAGTCTCGAGACTTACGCTACAGTTCCACTCCGTTCGGGTTACTAGCGTAAGGCCAATGTCGCCACTACCGTGGCTCCGTAGGTTTGGCGAAACCCAGAGCACTAGAGCCGTGCTCGCGACTTCATCGCTCACACGCTAGCCTCGAGACAAGTCTCGAGACTTACGCTACAGTTCCACTCCGTTCGGGTTACTAGCGTAAGGCCAATGTCGCCACTTACGTGGCTCCGTTAATGGAAAAAAAATAATAATAAACTAAAACGACATAAAAAAAAAAATAAATAAATAAATAAATAAATAAATAAATAAAAAAAAAAATAAATAAATAAATAAAAAAATAAATAAATAAAAAAAAAAAAAAAAAAAAATACATTTTAAAATTAAAAAAAAAAAAAAAAAAAATTAACTTTTACCTTATTCCACCTCCACCTCATACCACCTCCACCTCATACCACCTCCACCTCATCCCACCTCCACCTCATTCCACCTCCACCTCATCCCACCTCATGCCACCTCATGCCACCTCATGCCACCTCAATCCCACCTCAATCCCACCTCAATCCCACCTCAATCCCACCTCAATCCCACCTCAACGGGGGTCGAGCTGCTCCGCCTATACTACTCATAATCTATCACCTCAAGATGTTACTAAACACAGTCATAGCTAATCAGTTTTGTCAAAACATTAATTAACATTAATGAACGTTTGCAACTTAATTGGTCAAAACCGGGAAATGTGTTTCCACGAAGTGTACTATACCATTCTTTCGCGTGTAAAGTGCCTGCACACTACGCGTCAAAAACGGGTTTTGCGTTTTCACGAAGTGACACAAAAAAATTATGTCACGTGATATGCGCGACTCACTTCCGGCGTTTTCACGAAGTAGCGCTAACCCATTAGCTAATACACATGGTTAGCGTCACTTCGTGAAAACTCGAACACAGCATAATCTGAATCTTGAGTTTTCACGAAGTGACCTTATGGTTAATTAGTTTGATAACTCATTAGTATTATTTGTTTTCAATAAAAATCACACATTTATAACGTGACATTCAAGGTCCCAGCTTTCAGACAGTGTAAAAAAAATATGAATTTTGAGGCTAAAACGATGTTCAGATCACCGTTTCAAAACATATCCTCAACTTAAATCGTTGGTATCTCGAAACACACATTTTCCACTTCACGGGGCGGGGGTAGGTCACTTCGTGGTGTCGGTGACGGATTGGTCAAAATCTAGGAGGTCAAGAGGCGGGGTCTTGCCTAATCAATCAGCGAATTTGCTCAAATGTCATAGACTATATACGGTATATTACATAGACTACGAAATGCCCGGAAGATATCCGAAATTGTCGACGGAAAACAGGCGAAATGCCTCCTTTTTTTCGTCACGTGCCGTCAGCTGCCTGACCTTGGATTGAGCAAAAAGTCTTTTGTTTCTGGGAACCAGACAAGACGTATGACTTAAATGCACATAGACGTGTTCCCAATCCCTCCATCCATCAGTAACTTCTGAATGGTCGTTTGCGTATAATACATCCGACCAAAAGTGATTTTTTTACACAGATCTTTTCACTCGATGTCCGTCATGTTTTAATCACATATTTGTTTTTCATAAACTAAAGTTCTATTAAACTGAGGAATACAGTAACTGAGAATACGTAACTATATAGACAACCGGCATTA